ATTTATATATAAACGCGATTGTACAGCTATGTGAATGAATTCGCCGAAAAGTCTCTTCGCTGAATGTCTTCTCTTTTTCATATGACTCAATGGGGATTTTCAATCTACTCAAATTTGCCTATAGACAGGGTAGGAGCACTTTAGACGCTGCAGCCGTCTTACACAACAACATCGTCTCATCATTAGATAAAGGTGCCAAATACGTCCGCTGCACGTTTCTCGACTTCACTTCTGCTTTCGACTCTATACCTAGATGTCTCCTGCTAAATAAGCTCTCTTTGACAAAAACTGAGTCCTGGGTCACTAACTGGCTGAAGTTATACTTCTCTAACAGAATGCAGTACACCGTATACAAAGGTAAATCATCCTCTGCTGTACTCACTGAAGCCGGTGTCCCCCAAGGTGCTGTGCTCTCCCCACTTCTCTTTTCTTTCTTTCTACATGACTTACCATCTTCAAATGACATCAGTTTTGTCAAATATGCTGACGACCTGACTGTATCTTTGCCTATCAAATGTCAAAGTGACTGCTCTAAACTAAATGGCTTTCTATCAGAAATCAGCCAGTGGTCCAAGGAAAACGGTCTTACCCTAAACCCCTCCAAATGCCAAACAGTCAATTTCACCTTTAGGCATAAATCCGGCCTTAACAAACTGGTTGGCTCTCACGAAGTATGCAACATAGACGGCACTGAAATAGAAACCAAATAGGAAATTAAATACCTAGGCGTCATTCTATCTGCTGATCTCTCCTGGTCGTCTCATATCTTAGCGATTTCTAAGAAAATATTCCGTCTTACCTTCTACATCAAGAAGTTAAAACATTCTGGTATAACCCAACCCTTACTCCTACAATTCGTTAATTCTCGCATTCTGCCTATTATTCTCTATTGTTCCCCCTTAGTTTTTCCACGGCTGCTGAATAAGGACTATATCTTATTACGTAGGGTGTTAAAGGTTGTCAGCAGGGTGAGCAATGTACCACTTAACCAGCTTGTTAATATTCTGGTCGACAGGCACTTGGACTCATGTGAAAAATGGGCTAAATCCATTCTATCTAACTCATACCACCCTCTTCACTCACAACTCTCCCCTTGCATCTCATCAGGCAAAACCAGAAGCCTATATAGAAAACAATATATGATCGCACCAGCAAGTACAAAAACTCAACCATACCCTACTTAGCTCGTGTTCTGTGCGACAAAGAAAGCATTAGGCGTGACACCTATAATTCGTTAAATAGTCAGTAGTACAACTGGACCTCGTCTTTCCAACTCATATCATTTATAGGTACAACATTTTCTTTTCCTTTTCTCTCTCTCTCTTTTCCGTTATGTGCTGCTTTGTTTCTTTCTCTCGCTTACGCCAGTAAATATCACAGCTCCCACTTTTCTAACACCTTCAAACACTGTTCAGCTTTACCTTTGCTACCGACATGCCAATGTGTTGTTGTAATAATGAACTGAGATTTCCTTAATCTATGTAGAATTCTATTTATTGATAATGTACTAACTGGATGCAATACTGTAGTAAAAATGCTGAGAATTCCATTCTGTATCACATGTACTGTTTTGGAATAGAGCAAATTATTATTATTACTAAAAAAACACAGGAGTAAGACAGGGCTCTCTATTATCACAGATGAATCCTTAATTGTGGTGAACTTGATTGTGCATCAGACTGTGGGGAGCGAGGAGACAGGAAAACGCTGGACCACCGATGAGAAAACTCGAGATCTGGATTTCGCGTGTGGATGATACATTTTTAATGTCATACAAACTGCAGGACTTGTAGGTAAAAACCAACAAACTAGCTGAAGAAGCAGCAAAGACAGGACTCCAAGTAAACATAGAGAAGACCGAGATGATGAAGATAACCAACTAACATCAACAACAACAACCAGCACCAATCCTCATCAGTGAGAGAGATTTAACAGAGGTTGCCTCCTTCACTTATCTGGGAAGCATCATTTCAACTACAGGCACATGACACGGATGTAGATGTCAAAGCCAACCAGAGTTGGAAAGGCGAGATACGCCTTCATCAGCCTGAAGCCAGTTTGGAAATCTTCTGCAATAACTCAGCATAAGGAACAAGATTCGGATTTCCAACACCAATGTGAAGTCGGTTCTTCTATACGGGTCAGAAACTTACACTGCGTGTCACGAAAGGGATTTCCAACAGGTTGCAGACTTTTATCAAGAGGCGCCTTACCTGGCTCCATATTGGAGATCAAATGGCCAGAAAAAATAGGCAACAAGAAACTATGGGAGCAAACCAACCAAGAGCAGCTCAACAAATATGTAGGAGAAAATGGAGATGGATCGGGCATACATTGAGGAAACCGTCGAATGGCATTACGCGCCTGGCCATTGGTCGGGTGGAATCCCAATAGGAAGCGAAGAGTGGGTCGTACTAGGGTGACATAGAGATCATGTGAACAAGAGATGAGAGATTGTGGTTCAAGCAGAAGAGGACGGTAGAAGATAAAACAATGAGGAGATGTGTTGTTGAAGCCCCATGTTCCACTAAAAACGCAAGGGAATAATAATAATAACTTTATCGTTACTAAATTTTAATGTTTGGCATGAACTGCGCTTCTTTAGCAACTTCTAGTTTAATAGTGAAGAATGAAATGGCTGAGTGTGTTGAACACTTCATTTATCTGCGTCGACCCTGATGCACTGTTGACAAAATTTTAGGAGGAATACCGAGAATTCTCAAGATATTTGTTAAACAGCGCTATAATCGGCTCCAGCATATTATCCAGCTACCCATTGAAAAGTTTAAGTGTACAGAGTTTCAGTGCACAGTTCTGTCCTGTTTTACGGCAAAAACTTGGTTGCTGAGGTGACTGGCAGGTTTCAACATAGAACTAGCACTGATGTGTAACAGTTCGAGTCGCCACACTTCACTCAGCACATAAAGCCAGAGAACAATAAAGTAAAAAGAAACACAAAGTAGATACCGTAGAGAGACATAAGGCAAAAAAGAATAGTAATATCGAAGAACAACAGTTTCATTGGGTATTATAAGTCATAAGGAGTGGATGCATCTGCACTGAGAAAGATTTTGAGCCACATCACTAATTGTCACCAGCCTTTATTGGTTTTTACCATCCCGAGGACCCAAACCACGAAACAAGTCTACAGCTTGCTACCTAACTGACTTAAACTAGCTGTTGTGGATTTCGTTAACTGATGAGGCCATGTTTTGGTTTGACCGCCGCTGACTGTTTACCAACCTCATCCCTCCTATGTCAGCTAAAATTGCCCATTGTTTGGAAGGCGATGGCTAGGCATACGTAACACACATCGTAACCATCTCAGTCGATGTAACGTCACAGCCTCCTCGTCTATTGATTTCCCCTCCCTCCTCGACCGATGCCTAACCACAATACTGCTCACCCTATCATACCACTTCACTGAGAGCATAGAACTCAGACACCTCCCTGTGGCCAAAGACAGCTAGCCAACCTCTTCATGTCTTCCACTTCCAAGGGCCAGGTGTCGCTCACAGCCATAAAGGAGGACAGAACAAACTACTGAGCAGTACACACGCCTTTTGGTCAACAGTCGGCCAAATATCACCTCTACTAAGCCAGAGATGGCATCAACTGGCACATCCCAAACGACACTTCTGTATCCGTTCTGAGATTTCGTCAACGATCAACCCACTGAAGTTGGCTGGCTGATACAACTTCCCAAATAAGTGAAGTGGTCAACGCACCCTACCACTGCACTGCCTATTTCTAAGCTAGAAGTCAATGTAGTCCAGTCCTGTAGAAGCATCTCACATTTAACAGCACGAGCGAATCACTTGCCAAACACTCCAAGATTGCAGCTCAAGATGTTCAGAAGACTCTGAATTTTGTCAGCGTCTTCACCTAACAGGGAGGACTACATCATCCGCATATTCTAAGTCACCGAGATCATTCCCTGGTGGTACCAAGTCAATCCCTGAGTCGACAAATTCAACAGTTAGGGTTAATTCCATTAGTACATCTATGATGAAATTGAATAAAAATGGGGATAGTGGGCATTCCTGACGGACACCACTAGTTGTCACCACCTCAGATGACAACTCGTCGTAGGCTCTCACCTGGCTGACTGCATGAGTTCGAGTAGAGTGCTTTGATCAGTGCAATGCATTTTCTCGGCATTCCTTTCACAGACAAACGTCGCCAAAGTACCTCTCGGTCAACGGAGTCGAATGTCGCCTTTCCGGTCAAGAAATACAACGATCGTTGGAAGCCGGTAAGTATGCCCATGTCCCAGAATCTGTCGAAGGGTGAAGATATGATCAACACACCCTCTCTTCCTGGTCTAAAGTCTGTCTGGTTCTCTCGTGTTTGTTTCTCCCGAGCACCGCCTAGTCCACGCATGATTACTTTAGATGCCACCATATTGATCAAGCTAATCCCCCTGTGATTATCACAGGAAGACTTGTCTGTCGGGATAATCAACGACTTAGACTAGTCCAACGGGATTTCCTCCGATTCCCAGACGCTTCCTAATACCTTAGTTAATGCAGACAGTAAACTGTCTCCACCATGCTTAAACATCTCTGGATTCATTCCATCAAATCCCACTGCTTTGCCTCATTTCAGACGAGTGACAGCTCTTGTAACCGTAGTTAGGGATGGACGACCGGTGTTTATGTTTGATTCAGGGAAGTGTTTGAATGCTGAGTAATTTGAGCGTGGCTGTAGGCCAATTAAACTGCTCCTCGAAGTGTTCTTTTCAGCGTTCCAGTCTTCTAACTACAGTGCCATTTTTCTCAGAGATTGTTTTACTTGTGATTTGCCTTTTCCCACCTGTTTCCCTGATAAGTCTAAATAGTATTCTGGGGTTAACAATCGCCGATGACTTTTCTATCTCTTTCGCTTTTGTCGCTCACCACTGTTCACGGTCGTTACGAAAGTTTCTTGTTAGTTTGCATTGGAGCAGCTTTCACTGAGGTAGATGTGAAAAGATCAGTATTTAACCATGGGTACACCTTCATTCAGCTGTTCACCTCAGATGAATCAATATGTTAGCAGTAGGTTAGGCATAGAGCTTTAGGTAAGCACGAAGGCAATCGATCAGTTTGTTAGACTCCATCAACTGAGGAGGCTAAACTCAAGTTATGTATGCTAAGTTACTCGAAGAGCAGTGTTGGCTGAAGTATGATTTTAGCTTAGAGATGAGTTAAGCTTACACCAAAACGTGGAAAAAGTGTGTATATTCGTTGATTTATGGTGCAGGCCTAGTAGATATGAACAGAAAGTTCTTCTAGGTTTCTCGAAATGCTAAAAAAATGATCCTTCAGGAATGAATATTTGACTGATGGCTCTCTAATCACAAGGAAATTAACGAAAAATTAATAGTTAAGATATGGATGAACACAAGGAACTCAAAGTGTACGATAGTTAACAACCACCGTCTACAAAAAGTAAATACTACCTCACCAGGCTTGCTCATCAGACAAAACTTGATGAAGAAATATACATTGGATTGATTAGACACTGTACGAAAGATAGTAATAGGATGTGGCCTTGGAAGTGTTAAGGTTCAAAAACAAACATTCATCGCACTTGAATAAGTAAACTTCGATTAAATTTAATTATAGGAAACACACAAATACCAACAGAAGAATGATAAGTAGAGTGAAGAAAACCGAAATCACACCAGTAGCAAAGTATCCCCATCAGCAACTGTGAAATACTTAACTGCAAACTGTACAATTAATGTATTTATTATTTTTCTTCCAAACTAACTTATACGCCTGTACAAAAATAAACGATGACCTTCTGCTTATTGAAATGAGATACAAGAGATTGTTTGAAAAAGAAAACTTCAATTACTGAATACGTTAACGAAATACGTTAAAAGTAATAAACATAAGAGGAGAAAGGATAGAAAATTTGTAAGAATTTCTGAATTTCACGCAGTTTAGGCTTACAATTTCTAGTATATATCAAGTTTTGTGTGATTCAATTCACCCTCCTGGTATCATGGGATTTGGTTATTTATCGAATTCGAAGACCTCTCAATATGTTAACAATTTGTATGGAACATATCACTAGACAAAAAGAAAATTTGTCCATGACGAAAACCCAAACAGCAACGCTATAACGGAAATAGAAATAAAACTTATGGTTATACTATGATAAAATTAGTAGGAAGACATGCTGTATATGAGACAATTAATGTTCTTCAAAGTCACAAGTTTGTGATATCAATGAATGTTGGTTGAAAGTAAGGATTGCTACATCTTAGTAACGCTGCCTAGAATTTTTTTGCATGTATATGAATAGCCTGTTTTGAAATGAATTCAATTTATTTTAAACACTACATTTCACTTCAGTCAACACCGATCTTTGAGGCAGGTGCCGGTTTGCCATTCTGAACATACACTTTAGCCTCCTCAGCTGAGTTGCATGAAATGGATTTTAGTTTCTCGACTAGCATAATATGCTTTCCTGGCACTCAGTTCATAACCAGATATCGCCACAACACCTGTCAATCAACGCAGTCCAATTCAACCACAGGAAGGTTTGTCCTCTTCCTTATACACTGAGATGGTCAATGGCTTATACCTGTCTGACGGATGAGTTAGTCTAAGCAACGACTCATTATCACCATCACCATCCTTGAAGGTCGAAGTGAAACCATTCGGTCCCACTGCATTTTATTGTTTTAGAATGGCGACAAATTTTACAACGTCGTCTAGAGTTATGGGACTAATGTTTATGGCCCCTTCAGGCTTTGGTTGTATGGTGAGTGTAGTGCAATTGTAAGTCAGTTGAACTACTCCTCAAAGTGTTCTGTCTAACGTTCAAGCTATCTGTCCAGAGCAGATATTGAAGTTCTATCTCTCTCAAAGGTTATTTCACTTTTCATAGTTGACAAGTATCACTTATTTTTGTACACTTTCATCTCTTATTGTGAAGATGTCACTACCGACTTAGGTTTCTTGGATGTATACTACCAGCCTCATCCCAGAAGCTCCCATACAGTTTACTTTTTACTAATCCTGCAAGTGGGTGGAGAAATTCAGAGTTCGTCACCTTTTGCTATGGTTAGGTGGGATGAAGACTAGCAGAATCAAGCTAGAATCTGTTGGTGCATAAATACTCCGTAGTTGGAGTCCCAGAGAACATGTGATTCGGTTGCTCGATACAACACGAATCAGTGTAAAGAACCTAAATCAATGGCTAGTGTGCAGCAGTTTCTACTCCTCCTTTATTGCTGCAAACAGTATGAAGTAATAAAGGCCCCATTGAATGCTACTGGTGAGTAAGCTAATCTGCTTCCACTTAGCCGTTTCTCATCTAACTTTTGTCTTTTCCTTATAGTGATTTTGTGTGGCAAATCCCGGTGCTTATATTGTACCAAGTTTGTTTCAAGTAAAAATAAATAAACTGTGGCATAATAAACAACTAAAAGTTAGCTCCATAGGTCATGGTAATTAGTTTTACTTCGAAAATCCCAAAAGAGTAGGATGAAGTGATTGGAAAATACTTGATATTTTTAGTGATACACCTCTTCTGATTTAACAGGTAAATAGCTTTTTATGACATGTATATACTTCAATTAAATCTACCCTGACCGTTTCAGTTTACAGTGAAATAATTTATCCAAAGATGCAGGCAAGAGCATCAGTTTAACTAAGGATTTATAATAGTACACTTAATTAACCAGTTTCTAGACTCAGTGAAGACCTCCAGTGTCCATAATGGAATGATACTCTACCACAGTGCTCAAGTTTTATCTTTCTGTTAGTGAGACTTTGTTCGTTAGTTTTTGTTTTCATAGTTCAAAATCTAATTATCTTTACTAGATGTTACTATTCGCTCAGAAAGAAGTAAAGTATAATGAAAAATCATAAACAGTAGCGAAAGTGTTGATGAGTATCTGGATGATATGAAAGCCAAAGTTGTTTGATTGCTATAACTTATGCTAGCATAGCGAGTATCTGTTAGCAAGAATTCAAAAACTCAACATATTCTGCATAGAAACTGGAATAAGAAATTGTACCGTTCTAGAAATGAATACGACAGGAATTATGTACATAATATCCAGTCACAGGTACAACCTTGTTAAATGTTGATCACAGTTAAATATTAGATTGAGAAGAATAAGAAGTTCAGCAAAGATATCTTTTCGGCGATTTCATTTTCAAAAGCTGTACAACCGCATTTAAATACATAATTTCACATGGAGACAATTCTTGTTTAATTCTACATAATTATGACGGCGAATAAAAGGTGATAATTATTTCAAACTAGATATGGTTTTACGAAACAAAATTACGCAGGATTAGAACGCATATCAAGTGTGTAAAAATGAGCATGGATACAAAATTGAAATAATAATTTTCAACTTGAGATGGGAATCAGGAGGTGCGAATATAGATTACAAGAGCCTTAGAAACAAAATTACATGGGATTTAGCAAATTACAGGTGTGCAGAAAGTGAGCATGGAAACAAAATTGATATAATAGTTTTAACTTATAATGGAAGTTAGGAGTTGTGAATATAGATTACAAGAGCCTTAGAAACACAAAAAATTGCACAGGATTAAGATATAATTGCAAATTTTTAAAACGGATTATAAATGTGAACAGGAAAAGCATGGAAACAAACTGTTTTTTTTATAACTGGAAAAAAATGGGGTGAATCGAATGAAGACTGAGGGAGTAAGAATCACACACATAGCGAACGAAAAGGGATCAAACAACAAAAGCAAAAAAGCAAACAAAACAAAAACGGAAGCTACGGTAACATACCGAACTAAGTCCATGGTAGTTGTAGAGGTTGGACTAATTTCTTTTGGACACACAGCTCCGGCTTCTCGATGCATATTGCGAGGGCTTCTGCAGTACAGAGAAGTCGGAAACAAACTGCTTTCGGTAGGTTCCTGTTGACTTTGTAAATTACTTTGAATGAATCAGTTGAGATGTTGTGGGAGGTATTGATCAGATGCTCAATAATGGCACTTCTGATTGAACCGGTGCCTCCTCTTTGCAGCCACGCTGGGTAGTGTTCTCTAACACGTTTTGAAAGGACGCGCATACAACGACCTATGTACCTTGCTCCGCACGGGCAGGTGAACTGGTAAATGCACATTGAATTGGCCATATGCGACAGTTTGTCCTTCCCATTGCTCCGAAGAAGTGGGCGGCTAGAGAATGTCACTCTTAGAGTTGCTGCCGGAAAAGTCTTCTTCAGGGATTTGGAGATTCTCCTTTTAAGGATATCTGCTGCCAGATCTCCCCTGAATTCTAGATTCAGATAGAGTGTCTTCTTTTGCACTGAAATGTATTCTTCTCTTTTTGGCCTTGGTTTCATGTTCTTCTCCACGAAACGCGGCGGGTATCCGTTTTGAATGAGGATGCTTTTTAGGAATAGGAGCTCTTCTTCTAAACAGTCATCACTACAGATTCTTCTGGTGCGGTGGACTAGTGAGATGATGAGAGCTCTTTTACGGCTGATAGGTATCCAACTGTAGAAGTTTGTCAGCTGGCCATTCCATGTTGGTTTTCTAGGGATAGATCTTTTCAGAGTTCCGTCGTCTCTTCTTGTCAATTCGACGTCCAAGTTTAATAACTGTCATCCTTCAATTAAATTCACAATGGAAGTTGAAAATAAATCAAAGATTCCATTCTTGGAAGTCGAATTGACAAGAAGAGACGACGGAACTCTGAAAAGATCTATCCCTAGAAAACCAACATGGAATGGCCAGCTGACAAACTTCTACAGTTGGATACCTATCAGCCGTAAAAGAGCTCTCATCATCTCACTAGTCCACCGCACCAGAAGAATCTGTAGTGATGACTGTTTAGAAGAAGAGCTCCTATTCCTAAAAAGCATCCTCATTCAAAACGGATACCCGCCGCGTTTCGTGGAGAAGAACATGAAACCAAGGCCAAAAAGAGAAGAATACATTTCAGTGCAAAAGAAGACACTCTATCTGAATCTAGAATTCAGGGGAGATCTGGCAGCAGATATCCTTAAAAGGAGAATCTCCAAATCCCTGAAGAAGACTTTTCCGGCAGCAACTCTAAGAGTGACATTCTCTAGCCGCCCACTTCTTCGGAGCAATGGGAAGGACAAACTGTCGCATATGGCCAATTCAATGTGCATTTACCAGTTCACCTGCCCGTGCGGAGCAAGGTACATAGGTCGTTGTATGCGCGTCCTTTCAAAACGTGTTAGAGAACACTACCCAGCGTGGCTGCAAAGAGGAGGCACCGGTTCAATCAGAAGTGCCATTATTGAGCATCTGATCAATACCTCCCACAACATCTCAACTGATTCATTCAAAGTAATTTACAAAGTCAACAGGAACCTACCGAAAGCAGTTTGTTTCCGACTTCTCTGTACTGCAGAAGCCCTCGCAATATGCATCGAGAAGCCGGAGCTGTGTGTCCAAAAGAAATTAGTCCAACCTCTACAACTACCATGGACTTAGTTCGGTATGTTACCGTAGCTTCCGTTTTTGTTTTGTTTGCTTTTTTGCTTTTGTTGTTTGATCCCTTTTCGTTCGCTATGTGTGTGATTCTTACTCCCTCAGTCTTCATTCGATTCACCCCATTTTTTTCCAGTTATAAAAAAAACAGTTTGTTTCCATGCTTTTCCTGTTCACATTTATAATCCGTTTTAAAAATTTGCAATTATATCTTAATCCTGTGCAATTTTTTGTGTTTCTAAGGCTCTTGTAATCTATATTCACAACTCCTAACTTCCATTATAAGTTAAAACTATTATATCAATTTTGTTTCCATGCTCACTTTCTGCACACCTGTAATTTGCTAAATCCCATGTAATTTTGTTTCTAAGGCTCTTGTAATCTATATTCGCACCTCCTGATTCCCATCTCAAGTTGAAAATTATTATTTCAATTTTGTATCCATGCTCATTTTTACACACTTGATATGCGTTCTAATCCTGCGTAATTTTGTTTCGTAAAACCATATCTAGTTTGAAATAATTATCACCTTTTATTCGCCGTCATAATTATGTAGAATTAAACAAGAATTGTCTCCATGTGAAATTATGTATTTAAATGCGGTTGTACAGCTTTTGAAAATGAAATCGCCGAAAAGATATCTTTGCTGAACTTCTTATTCTTCTCAATCTAATGTTCCAATGGGTATTTTCCACAGTTAAATGTCTTATGGTATTATCCTATGCATATGCAGCAAATAAATATGCACGAAAACTACTTCTTGGAGCGTTTGATGAATAAAAAAAATTTAGATCTGAATATCATGTTTTATACTCCATTAAACATCCGTAAATATGCTACATGAATGAGTGGTCTAATGATTAGGCTCGTAATAGCGTTTAAACAGAATGAGTTGCAACTGCAGGTCAGATAACGGTAGTAAAAAAGAAGAAAAGGTAGATTGCAATTTATTCCTTACATTTATTTTAAAAAACAGGAACTACATCACTGCCTTTTCAATGATTTCCCGAATTTTCTGAGCTTGAGACACTGCAGAATCAAATAGAATATTCCATATGCTGACAGTGTCGTTCCCATTACTGTTTGGAATAGCCATAGTATCCCAGAGACCTGCCAAAAATGCATGAACCATGGAGAGATCTATAATATTCCCTCTCCGTGAAAGTGTCAAGCAGATTGAACCAGCATCTGTATCCCAGATGTCCAATTCTCTTCTTGTCGGCTGAGCAATAATAGGAACACCTCCATGCTTATTTTCAACAACCGGATGCGGGATGAAACAGAAAGACAACGAAACAGGCCATTGCTTTACTTCCAAAGATTTTTCCTCCTTTAGTGGTCCTGGTTTGTAGCAGTCTAAATAAGATCCTGTAGCTCGTTTGTCAGTTACTGCATATAATTTCGTCCATTTTGCCGTCAAAAGGGTAACAAGTGCAGCAGGTACGCAAGCATCCAGTAAGCATCCATCATCATGTAGGATTAAAATATCAAGCTTCAACGCATAGGAAGCCGAAGGTACTGAGTTATTCTCGTCACTACCGATTGGGAATATATTTAACTGCTTTTTAACAGATGGCAGTGCGACATCGCCCACTAGTCTCTGAACAGATGAAGAAAGGCACTGTGCGTATTTAGGTTGAGAAGCGTTTAGGCGTGAACCTCTATTACAGAGGCCAGCGTACTCAACATTGCAAGTGATGCTTCCCGAGTTTCCACTTTCAGGAACAACTTTCACCTAAAATAGTCAAGATTAAAGACTTTGTTATACCTTTAAACCCGCGATCACATGAGTTTTACCCAACTTTACCACTGCTGAACCATGACAACACGATAGAACATTAGCAGTCACATCTATGTCAGCGAAATCAAGACAGTTTCTGTCTTCTATCCGGATTTTTTGTTCAAACAACTGCTCAAAGAGAATATATGGTTTCAGTAGATTGAAATCTCCCATTGTAAAATGCAAACTTCGAATGTACACCTACAACAATAAAAAAACCACTAATACTTCAGAGAATTTGAAAAATATCAAACAGCTTATGACACAAATCAACAAGTTAAATGACAACACTGAGATGTAGTAATTCAAAATACGCCTTAAGAAGCAGAAAACACAATATGTGCTAAGGAATCATGCATAAGAAGTAACTGATAAAACCACGCAAGGTTTAGACTCTTAGGAAAACTACTGTTACTGGTAAAATACCAAAGCGTAGATTTGTTCCCCTTATAATAAATTTAGATTTTCTTTGAGCTAGGGAAATCACTCATTAAAATACTTCTGTAGTGAGTCAGAATCTCTATTCCCGGTAGAAGTACCAAATGATCTATTATTAGGTGTCAAGTAAGACATTATGACAGAACGCAATTAAGAAAAACACAAAGTGAAGAGGAAGTGAAGGGCCATTAAGTAGAGGAGTTGCATTAGTAGAAGGAAGGTAAGATAATAGAGATGAAGATGAAGACAAAGGTGAGTGAGGAATAGAGAGGTTTCGCGTGCTCTTCGGGTTGTGAAGGCGATTGTTACTTCCCGGCTGCCCACACCGTGGAAACAATCAGCTACGAAACTGCTACGCCCCTAAGTTAATAAGAACACAAAGTTTTTATTTACGGAAGTCTAGCATAATGTCTACTCATGTGTAGAAACAGTAGTAGCTGTTGAAAACCTGAAACTAAAAGTTGGTAAATACCAATAGATTTTTGCTGCTTTGTGAGAACCACGGGACGCAACAAGACTGACTCCAGAAGTTTCTTTGCATGACAAAGAGTGAAGGCTGCTCAAGCTCGAACCTACAGAAACCGTGAATACCGGTAGGTAACAAAGAGATGGGAAAGACATCGGTCGTAAGTAACATCAGACGTTTACACGACCGATTGATTGGTTCCAACGCAGTACTTTGCACAGATGTGCAGCAGTTCAGATTGCCACCTTCCATGGACCACACAGAGCAACAGAAGAGAGTAAAGAGGGAGAATAAACAGAAGTTTGAGAGAATAAATAATAGTAATATGGAAGGACAATAGAGCTTTGTTGGATGTGACAAATCACAAAGGGTAAATGCTTCTGGGCCCACTAAGACCGATTTTAAACCATATCACCTGTTGGTCTTGTCATTGGTTCTTACCATTCCAAGGACCCCAATCAGTCAAAACGTCTACACCTCCCAACGTCGGTTAAATTAAATGTTATGGATTTCACTGACTGATGAAGCCATATTTTGGTTTGACCACCACTGGCTCTTTCCCAACCTAATCCCTCCTATGTCAGCTAACATTGCCCGTCGTGGAAGGTGATGGCTAGGCGTGCGTAACTGCTGCTGCTGGATTCAACATAGAACTTGGCACCGAAGTGCAGCAGTTCGAGTTGCCACGTTCCGAATAGCACACAAAGGTAGACAGCAAAATGAGAGAAGAGAATCAATAGAATTTAGATAAGTATAAGAGTGAAACAGAATGAGTAATGGTAGAAAGGAATATGAAGGTTAAAGAGACTGAATACATCTGCGCCATTGACAACGATTTTGAGCCATGTCACCTATTGTCTCCAGCCATTGATTCTTGGAGTCCCGAGGGCCCCAACCCGGAAGTCTGCATCTCCCTACCTGACTCAGTTTAACTGTCAGGGATTTCATGGATTGATGCCATGTTTTTTGTTTGGCCACCACTTACTCTTTTCCAACCTGCACCTATATCAGCTAGTAATGCCCGTCGGGGGAGACGACGGTTAGGCATGCGTAACACATTTCCTAACTATCACAACTGATGTAACTTCACAAACTCATCGACTGATTTCTCCTCCTCACCTAGCACTCGACCGATGCCTAACCTCAATATTACTCATCCTATTGACTGACTGCCTGGTTTCAACGTAGGACTTTGCACAGATGTGCAGCACTTCGAGTCGTTACACTTCATGTAACACAAAGTGTGAGAAGAGATTCAAAACTGAGATATGAGGCAGAAAGAATAGTGATAGGGAAGAACAATAGTTTTTTGGATTTTATAAATCACTCACCCTAATATTCCACCTAACGCGAACACTTATGATTAAAGACAGTTGTTTCATATCTTCTACTTTCAATGGCCAAGTGTCGCTCACAGCCATAAAGGAGGACAGAACGAACTACTGAGAAGTACACACGCCTTTTGGTCAACAGTCGGCCAAATATCACCTCTGCTAAGCCAGAGATGGCATCAACTGGCACATCCCAAACGACACTTCTGTATCCGTTCTGAGATTTCGTCAACGATCAACCCACTGAAGTTGGCTGGCTGATACAACTTCCCAAATAAGTGAAGTGGTCAACGCACCCTACCACTGCACTGCCTATTTCTAAGCTAGAAGTCAATGTAGTCCAGTCCTGTAGAAGCATCTCACATTTAACAGCACGAGCGAATCACTTGCCAAACACTCCAAGATTGCAGCTCAAGATGTTCAGAAGACTCTGAATTTTGTCAGCGTCTTCACCTAACAGGGAGGACTACATCATCCGCATATTCTAAGTCACCGAGATCATTCCCTGGTGGTACCAAGTCAATCCCTGAGTCGACAAATTCAACAGTTAGGGTTAATTCCATTAGTACATCTATGATGAAATTGAATAAAAATGGGGATAGTGGGCATTCCTGACGGACACCACTAGTTGTCACCACCTCAGATGACAACTCGTCGTAGGCTCTCACCTGGCTGACTGCATGAGTTCGAGTAGAGTGCTTTGATCAGTGCAATGCATTTTCTCGGCATTCCTTTCACAGACAAACGTCGCCAAAGTACCTCTCGGTCAACGGAGTCGAATGTCGCCTTTCCGGTCAAGAAATACAACGATCGTTGGAAGCCGGTAAGTATGCCCATGTCCCAGAATCTGTCGAAGGGTGAAGATATGATCAACACACCCTCTCTTCCTGGTCTAAAGTCTGTCTGGTTCTCTCGTGTTTGTTTCTCCCGAGCACCGCCTAGTCCACGCATGATTACTTTAGATGCCACCATATTGATCAAGCTAATCCCTCTGTGATTATCACAGGAAGACTTGTCTGTCGGGATAATCAACGACTTAGACTAGTCCAACGGGATTTCCTCCGATTCCCAGACGCTGCCTAATACCTTAGTTAACCCAGACAGTAAATACTCTCCGCAGTCTACTTAGATTTTTCTACTGTGGTATTGGGTTACAAGAGAACACTGAGCATGGAAGTTCAAGTTGGCATACTCCATGTGGCGCACAATGGTAGATAAACAAGAGGAATTATAGAGATTTAAAAAAAAACTGTGATAAGCATAAATGTACCGGAGGAAGCATAGTAACGTGGATAAACAAATGTTTAGTGAATATGTGAGATCACAAAGAATGCATCTGTGCCAGTGGGGCCGATTTTGAACCATATCATCAGTAGTCTTGATACAATGGTTCTTAGCATCCGATGACCACAACCAGTTAGTTCACGCCTACCTATATGACTCAAATCAAATATTAGACTTCATGAACTAATGCAAGCTTTTGTTTTGACCACCATCAACTTTCTTCCAACTTAATACTGTCAGCTGAAATTGCTCGACGAGGAAACGTATGACTCGGTATGCGTATACGTGTCCTAGTCATCTCAGTCGATGTAGCTTCATAGATTGATTTCCCTTCCTCATCCAACGCTCTACGCTAGAGTTAACGCCAGTTGGCAATTGCCGCACGAGCCGTTTTTATCCGTGGTAAGCTCCCATCAGCGGTCAACCCATTGGGGATTATGCACCTTCCCAAATAAGTAAAATGATCAACACTCTACTATTTCACTCTGCATCTTTAAGCTATGAGTCAATGTAGTCCAGTTCTGCATCATCATCTTGCTTTTGATAAGGGCGAATCGCATACCAAACGTACGAAGATTTCTGATCAGTATGTTCAGAAGACTGTATTTCATCAGTGGCCTCACCTAGGAGGACATTATCATTTGAACACTCTAAGTCCACAAGACACTTTTGTGGTAAGAAGTCAATTCCTAAGCAGCTGAATTCAGTTGTCAATTCCATTAGTACATCTATGATACAATTAAACAAAAGTAGATGCAATGGAGACTCCTGGTTTTCCTTGTTTCAAGTGACAACTCTTCAAAAGCTATTACACAGCTGCCACATTCTTATCACGACCAGTAAATGTCACAGCGCCTCTCCGATGACGGAGTCGAATTCAGCTCTCAGGTCGAGAAATATGGCAAGTGTTTGCCCGTTCTATAATATACCGAAGGGTGAAGATATGATCAGTAAACCCTCTCCCTGGTCTGAAACCTGACTGATTTTCTCAGGTTTGTTCCTTCCAAGTAGCATTTAGTCTGAGCATGATTATTGAGCCTAGGAATTTAGATACCATATTAGTCAAGCTAATCCCCGTATGATTATTACCGGACATATTGGAGAAGCGAGTTGTATGAAGCCAATGATAAGAAAGACAATCTTCGAGAAAAACAGTGCTTTAGTTATCTCTCATGATGGAAAACCAGAAAGTTGGAGCGAACACTGAAGAGCGGCTTAACTGAACTACAACCAGTTATCCAAAACGTACTTGAATGGGATGTAGGAACCGATCCTACTCTGGCAGAAATCTTAGTACGTTTGGTATGCGATTCGCCCTTATCAAAAGCAAGATGATGATGCAGAACTGGACTACATTGACTCATAGCTTAAAGATGCAGAGTGAAATAGTAGAGTGTTGATCATTTTACTTATTTGGGAAGTTGCATAATCCCCAATGGGTTGACCGCTGATGGGAGCTTACCACGGATAAAAACGGCTCGTGCGGCAATTGCCAACTGGCGTTAACTCTAGCGTAGAGCGTTGGATGAGGAAGGGAAATCAATCTATGAAGCTACATCGACTGAGATGACTAGGACACGTATACGCATACCGAGTCATACGTTTCCTCGTCGAGCAATTTCAGCTGACAGTATTAAGTTGGATTGGAAGAGTTAGGGATAATCAGATGTATTTTCTATAGTTTGGTTTGTAAGGGTTAGTTATGTTTTTACGAGTTGATCACGAATTGATATCAGTTAGAGAACCACTAAAAACCAGGGAGTACTGGATAGCTGCTGTTTCATCCTAGTTTGGGAATCATCGTAAAAACATAACCCTTACAAACCAAACTATAGGAAACTAATCTGATGCTCGCTAGTGACTTGCTACAGGATGGAGTTTCCCGGAGTTCTAGTGAGAAGTCGTGACCAGTGAGGTCCAATTAGATGTCACGTGTGTGGATGGATGTCCCACCAACGACAATGGTTTGCGTCGCGCTAAATCACGAATTGGTAGAAGTTGGAATTCATGAGCCATTGAGTCGGGTCCCAGTGGATGAATGGTACACGAGCTTGCCTTGTAACCGGAAGGTCCTGGGTTCGAATCCCAGTGGGTGCGTACTGCCGATGATTCCCAAACTAGGATGAAACAGCAGCTGTCCAGTACTCCCTGGTTTTCAATGGTTCTCTAACTGATATCAATTCGTGATCAACTCGTAAAAGAAATAATCAGATGTAAGCATGGCATCAATGGATGAGGTCACACACAGTTGGTGTGGGCTAATTCCGGAGGTGCGGGCCGACTGGTTGGGGTCTTCAAGAATCTAAGCACCAAAGGCTCCAGATTGTGGTAGGCCCCAAAATCGTTTTTGTAACCTCCCACACCAATTAAGCCCTCATAGTTTAGCCTGTGCGATTCCGTTCATGATATTTCTTCCGATTTTCTCTCTACAGCTGTGTACTATATGGAATGTGGCAACTTGAACTGACAGTCCTGTGCAAAGTTCTATGTCAAGACTCAGTCAACCAATGTAGGGCATTACATAGTGGACACTGTCCACTGGCTGAGATAGCCTTGATGTAGACCTAGAAATGTATTCATCTTAGTTATGAGGTACCTCACAACTCTTGTATCGATGCTCAGACAAACACGAATTTCGTTCAATTTGAAGAGATCAATGGAAGATATAGAACAGTATAAAACATTAATTTCACTTCCTTAATAATTTACCAACTGCTTGCAGCCTGAATAGTGGAAACCAATAGTTTTATAAGTTTCAGCATACCACAGTTCATTGAAGAAATGTCGAACAACAATTGAGAATTACCATAGTATGTACAGGAATGTAAATGTTAAGTTACTAAAATGTTTAAACCATGCTATAATCATACATACAATGTGACCAGGTAGTAATAACAATAGTAGTAGTAGCAACACATTGTATTGTACACATCCATTGTGAAATACTGAAAGTTTGCGTACGATGTTACTCAAATATGAAAGTCAGATTACCAATTTTATTACTTTAATAGAAAAGGCAAAATGAACAAAATATACAGTAACCGCAAGAGGTTTGTAAATTTTCTGGTGGAATTTCACAGTTGCGATGAGCTGAAAATCTTAAATAAAACAATAGTATACCACAGAAATTCATGTTAACTCTTACTGCATATGTAATCGTTAATTCCTGAAAGAATTGCCTGCCTTATAACAGCGAATTACCTAGGTAGTAATATAGACTATTGCCCAGAAAAATGCAGGTACTAGTTGATAAATCGTCCTTACAGTGGACACAGAGCTTAAAGATACAGTAATGAATGCCCTGCTAGTTGCTTTCTGATTTGCATCTGACAACGTAAGCTTCATTGTCGCTTCAGCGTTATGTACCTTTAACCGTAAAAATGTACTGGAATGTGGTACATCGACTTTACCACAGTAACATACGCTGAGAATACATTCTAATAGCCAGTAAAGATGGTATAAAGATGAATGCTTCCCACCAACATTGCACTGCAACTATCTGCATCACACACGCAATCGTTAGTGTAGACACACTGAACGCCATAATGAATCAATAGTTAAAACCTACGGCACTGTCACTTATCTGCAACTATTGGGTGAAAAACAACAGATGCAATATGTAGGGTCTTCACTACAATCAGTAGTGATATGATCTTGATCTCGTATAAGTCTTAACCAGGAATCTACCAAATAGCCGTGTCTTGCGCAAAAGGTGACTCATACATACTTTCAAAATATTTAACCAATTATATTATACGAGGGAACACTAATTAGGTGGGATCTTTTCTCCTAATTATGGAGTCAGCAAAGTTCTAAGGCTGCAAAACATTTTATTTTTATTTTTTTTATTTTGATTTACAGCTTGATTCCACACCGTATTTTCAGTACAAGTGTGGAATTTTCAGCATGGATATCGGTAGCCCAAATTCAGGCCGACCATAGATATCGGGTGTGCGCCGGCAGGGGATCGAACCCCGGACCATGTGCATGGTCGGCGAGAGTCCTAACCACTGAGGTAGTGACTGTGAAACTTATCTGCTTTTCTGTTTTCCAAGAAGGTGCTTAGAAGCAACATTTCCTTTGCTTATTAATAATAGTAGAAAATAATGAAAACAGTAATATTTTACTACTACCTATGAGTAGTGACAACAATGGTTCCGACTCCCATGAGATGTGTTCAGCTCCCTTGTTTGATTTGTTCAATAAGCGGATGAACAAGCTTAGATACTCAATAAAAAAAGGATTAACATGTTCCTGTTGTCTTCCAACAGCAATCACGAGACTAAAAATTAACAGGAACATAATACTTGCTTCACGTGAGAAGATCAAGGACGAAATGTTTCCTTACCAAGGTCAATACGTGGTCCAATATCCAATATCGTTTTACGAGCTAGTATAAACCAATTTGATTTCTTTGCGCTCACCTCTTGATTGTGAGGTATAGGTCGTTCAATATATCAGCTTTTGAGTTTGAAAACTGATTCAGGTTCAGAATATAAGGATAGAAGGCTCTTGTTGCCTATGTTAGTCCTCGCGATATATATCTCTGCAGAGATCTAGTTTCTCTTTGAAAGCGTTCACCGATGGAGCTGTTACTACTGAATCAGGTAAGGAGTTCCAGTCGTTGACCACTCTGTGAGGGAACCTACACTCCAATCGTATTTTATTCGACCTTGGTTTGAGCACCTTCTTCTGGTGACCCCGTAAATGTATTCTAGAGGGAGAGAAAAGGTTTGAGAGGTCAATCCCTAAATCACCGTTGAATATACGGTAAGCCAAAATTAAGTCGCCTCTCCTCCTTCGGTATGATAATGGGAAGAGATTTAAATGCTCCATCCTCTTATCATAAGGAAGGTGTGAGATACCACTAACTAATTTTGTTCCTACTCTCTGTACTCTTTCCAGGGTATGTGCCTCCTTTTTGAAGCATGGACTCGCCACTTGTATGCAGTACTCTAGATGAGGCCTGACATATGTTGCATAGAGTACTTGGAAAATACCCTCGTCTAATCGTTAGAAAGCCCTTCGAAGTGCCCATAACATTCGAAAAGCCTTAGCTGCGGCTCGATTACAGTTCACCGTTGTTTTTAAGTCATGGCTAACAATAATTCCTAAGTCCTTTTGTTCCCTAACATCTGGCAGTTCTGTGTCCCCCATGGAGTACGACGTGTAAGACTTCTGACCTAGGTGCATTACCGCGCTTTTCTTGGAATTAATTTCCAGACTCCAAAGGTTAGCCCATTCGGTTAATTTGTCTAGATCGTTTTCTAGTACCAACCTATCATCGCTACTATTTACGGGCTTCCATATCTTAATATCGTCCGCAAATGGTAAGGAAGATGAGGTAAGAATTTTTGGCACTTCATTTATGTATAATAAGAATAGCAGGAGGCCAAGTACCGTTCCCTAAGGTACTCCACTTAGTACTGCTTTCCACCCTGACAGTACACCATTAACCCTTACCTTCTGCCTCCTATCCATCAGGTAGTCACTAAACCAAAATGTTTAAGTTTACTAAGAAGACCTAAGTGGGATACCGTATCGAATGCTTTACTGAGATCGATAAATACAACGTCCAGTAGATGGTTTTTATCCCTGGCCTCGACCCAATCTTCCCTAGCTAACAGTAAGTTTGTCAAGCAGGATCGTCCTGGTCGGAATCCATGCTGTTCCACTGCCAGTAAGCCATGTTTTTCCGTATGAGCTAAGAGCTGATCCCTTATGAGTTTTTCTAACACCTTTGCTATAATACAGGTCAGACTTACAGGCCGGTAGTTAGATACTAACTGTCTATTCCCATCTTTGAAGATGGGGCTTATAAAAGCATCTTTCCAGTCTCTGGGTAACCTAGCCTGGGTCAGAGACATCTGAAAAATCTCCGTAAGTGGAATGTATGTTATATCCGCCAGGGAGCTTAGCAATCTAGGGTGAAGTCCGTCTGGTCCAGGTGATTTACCTGGCTTTAACTTAGACAGTAGTTTCAGAACCATTGCATCATCTACCACAATTGGGGGCATTTTAGGGGCTACACCAGTTACCTTGCTACACCCCTGGGTGGTACGATTAGACGAAAAATCATCACAGAAATATTCGGAGAGCTCCTCAGCTTTTGTTTCGTCTGATTCTACAGCCTCTCCTGTGTTGCTAATGAGGGACGGTATGCCACTACTAGTTTTAGTCCTGCGTTTGATATACGAGAACAGTCTTTTTGGATAATGCACACAATCCAGTACTAACTCTCTCTCATACTCTATACGACTTTTGTCAATCTCATACTTGCAAAGGTTCCGAACTTTGAGGTATTCTACCCGAAACTCATCCCTCCCAGTCACAGCAAACTTGTCCCATAAGTTCTTACGTTTTCTTAGTAACCTCCTTATTTCATTACTAATCCAAGGTGGTTTATGAGATAATTTTCGAGGCGTAGACCAAGGTACAAAGGGTGCAGTGACGCACTCTAGTATATTCCTAAATCCCATCCAAGCCTCCTCGACAGTCTGGCGTGTGTTAACATACCAGTCAGCTAGGGTTGCTGCATTTCGGATTGCAGGTATATTCGCTTTCCAAACGTTTGGGTGAGCGGCTGTTGACCTATGTATGGCGGCCTGGATCCTGAACATAAAAGTAATAACTATGTGGTCACTACTGCCTAGCGGCGCCAGGCACCTAATGTTACCAACATCCTCCTTCTGGTGTGTTAGCACCAAGTCTAGAGTAGACGGATCATGTTCAGCATGGTATCGTGTTGGTGCATCCATATGCTGCACAAGTGCGCATTCAAGTACTGCCAGTATTAGTTCCCTATTGAAACAATTGTACGAAGTAGCTGATGTTAATTCCTCCCAATTAATATGCGAGGCATTAAAATCACCTACTATTAGACACCTATTCTTTCTACTCCACGTCCTGAGGTGATTTATAACGAAATTGTCAGCTTGGCTGGTAGGGCTTCTATAAATAACCCCTATCGTTACGGTGCCTTTGTTCACGTTAGTGACACAACCTGCGGCTTCACAGGTGCCACTGTCATGAGCTTCCGACAACGTCGACCTAATTCCTATGTCATCTCGAATGTATAGAGCGACCCCCCCACCTTTCCGGCTACTTACTCTGTCTGCTCTAATGCAGATGTACCCAGGTATGAGTGGAGTTAAGTCTATACCCATTAACAACCATGTTTTGGTGATAGCAATCACATCCGGCTGTAGTTCCTCAGTCAACACTCCTAGTTCAGGAAACTTATTCCTAAGACTACAAGCGTTTGTGTAGCATACTGAGAGACCTATGTGTTCACTTGACTTATGAACAGAGGTCTGGGTAACATAGGTTTCCGAGACCTCACCACTCGAAAACCCAACAGTTCGAGGTCTCTTTCACCTTCTTCTAATCGGGCCTTTAATTCAGCCACAGCTTCTCTTCTCCTAATTCTATCTTCCAAGGGCCAGTCTGGCCTAATTCTCATTTTTTTTATTCTTGATCTTGAATGCGTTGTTGAGAATAATAGTTTTCTCCATTTCGTTCCCCAGTACTACCTTCAGCAGTCGTGGGGAACTTTCCGTTGCATAGGCGGTTCGTTTACCGATTCTGATGACTTTCCTAATGTGAACACCATTTGTTTTTTCCGGAAGTATTTCACGGATGATGGAGCTAACTATTTCGAGATCTTCAGCATGTCGAGCAGCTGGATCTACCTTCTTCGATTCCTCCAAATTCCAAATTACTATTCTGTAATTTGAGTCCGAAGGTTTAATCTTGTCGGTGTTTACGGCCGTTGAGACCTTATCACTAACCAGAGTACTTTTCTCTTTCCTGTGATTCTTGAGCTTCCTACTCTTCGGCACTAGCCAGGTGGAATCAGATGGTTCCACTTTACTCTCGCCGTAGTTGGAAGCTGTGCGTTCACCAGACACGCAACGCTTCATCGCTGTGGTATCACCCTGCTGTCTTACAATGTTTGCACTGTTTGCCCTACTAGGTTTTCGGGGCTTTTTACGTGCTATTGCAGACTGCTGGGCACACTTCACCTCTGTTGTTTCTTTCGAAGCTAGAGGATGTGGTTCCGCCTCAGTTTTATGACTAAGGCCAGAATCCTCATTTATAACATCTGCACTAGATTTCGTTTACAGAAAGTGTTATTTTGACTACTCTCCAGCAATTAAACATGAAATACTTTTGAATGTACAAATTCTACATTTTTCATCCAGAAATACTTACTTTAATGTTATGTGTGTTTTTATTTCAATGTAACAAGCAAACCAACAGCCAGGAAGAGAATGAAAGGAAAGAAGACTGTATTCACCACAAAACTAAAACGGGAAAAGCACTATCAACATATCGGTTATATCGTACCCCTCACCCTGAGCCTCAGAAGTTGTTGTACCTCCTGCATTAGAGTATTAACTGCATGGATTCCTTCTTCAAAAAAATTACAGAGAAAATGGATACGTATTTCACTCTGGCAGGTTTGCGTTCCTTTCCCTTTGATGCACAATCCTTGGTGCCACGTTTTGGTGCTGGACATACTGTACTCCATTAAGAGTAACCTTATACTGACAAGTGGCAGTAAGGTTATGGAAATATACTGCTATACTGGTCCCTTCGTCCCCATACACTGCTACATGAACTGCAAAGCAATTACCAGCCAAAGCTACCTGAACAGTTTCGGATGGTCTCTGACTTGGAGAAGAGAGTTTATGGGGTCGGTGGAGGACCTGGTGCAGGAACATGCTAGTTATAAGCGTTTTGCTGATGATTATTAGATTATTGTTTTTGAGTGCTTAGCAGATCATCAGCAGTCGCTACGACGTTTCCTAATCCCCTAAGCGACATGACCCAAGCGCTTGAAAGCTTAGAGTTGAGTTTGGACCAAAGTCGAGAGACGTAACTCACGACCAGATAAAAGAAGGGGTGGGAGAAAAATTGTCAATGAATTATCGGAGGAAACATAGGAAAGGAGACAATGAAGTAAATAATCATCTCAAGTAACTAATAACAACCAGCCAAGAAAGGGGTGAAGTATGTTCGTGATAATTCCATCAGTATAATCCACTAAACTATTACTCTACGAGATCACTAGTTAGTAAACTACCCATCGAACGTAACTGAGTCTTTTTGTTGCGGCGTTACTGCTTCTCGTCGCAGGGAAAACAACCTACGGCCACAACTATGTCTCCGTTGTTCTCCTTCGGAGTCTTGGTTGGTCCTATCATGTACACGCCCATCAAGAGGTTTAGAGATTTATAAACGCAGGTACTAGGTTTGTACGCTGTACCTCCTTAGTATGAATACTAAAGTCGCTGATTGGGGACGAGTACAGTCTTGCACTAGCCACCCTTGCTCTTACTCGTACATCTATAAGATAATAATTTGTAAAGATCTAACTATGTGTGGAATGTCAACCATTAGAACCCATTTAATAATGATAATTGTCGCATATATGGAACGTATAGATACCTACATAAACTTATTTACCTATTTTCTAAGCATAATAAAGTTCCTTCAGAAAACAAGAAATTTGTGAGTGAGATCATACACAGCCATATACATGAAATAAGAGTGTTTGATTTACAGAAGTATTTTACGGGGAACACTGTGTTTAAAGTTTGTGATAACCCATGAAGCGCAGGGCAGTTATACTGGTATGAATAATGGAAACATGGGAGCGGTTACTTCATGTAAATGAGGTTAATTGTGTGTTTCAGTGACTCAGTTGCATTTTTTCGGAAAATTATCGATTCTGCGCAGTAATTGTCTTGTCGTGCTGGTTTATTTTCAGTTTAGCAACGAAAAACTCCGAAATGGCGACATTTTTGCAGTTGGTTGGACCTCATAGTTGTAGCGGTAAATAATTCCCCGAAATTATTGACCACAGCAATCATCACTAAACATTGGATGTTGACCCTCACTGTTTAAGTCGACTTGTTTAGCTGAAGGCTTCCGGTCAAGCATCCCAGCCATTTGGTACTCCGTCGTATCACGTGCATGCACGATTACTAGCTAGCCAAGCATTCACTTCAACCCGTGATCTGGTCCCGAAATATACTACGTACTTTGGACGACAAAATCTGGTCTTTTGCTTTGTCTTTGGTACTCGAAGTGCGAACACTATAGAAGTTTTTGGTACAAGATCTTGCGTTAGTATAATCCGTACAACTCGCGAACGTCGATACCTACAACCCCTAAATAGTATTTTGAGTTGCATCACTTTGTCTTCGAGCAACAGCATCAGCCTCAGGATCCCAGAGTTGAGAGTCTTTGAAGCTGCTGATCCTGCCCCCTTAAAAGTCGCTCATGAATCCTGTGCATATATAGTTTTGCTTGGATCTTACGGCGCGTTAGTCTCTGGACAAGTATTATCCGGAACATAAATTTTGTGAGTTTTCTCGACGTTACATTATTCTTGGGCCAAAATAGGAATGAGGCAACATGGAGGCATACAATTTAGTAAGTGCTAATAACGGGTTGGTAGTGGACATGCTTTAATTCTTCATCGTTCCTCTGATTTTTGAAAGATGCCTTGAGGTCTACCGTGGTTTTATGCATTGCTCTTGCGTGCATTCCGGACAGTGCATCAGCCACGCAGCTCTCCACACCATTCAGATGTCTTATATCACTGGAAAACTGTGATATCCGCCTTCGCGTTAAACGTGTGGGTGAGAGGCTTGTGATCTGTGCAGATCTTGAGTAGTCTGACATATGGAGAAAGTCTTAAATTGTTAGGCAACTTTCTGCCAAAAATGGAATACCCCGTTTCTGTAGGATTAAGCTGTCTAGAGAAGGATGCTACTGGTCCCCAGATATTGACAATCACCTGGTTTAGATCTGCTCCAATAACCTACTCTGATACGTTTACTGGTAATGCAAGATGAGCATCTTGATTAAGATATTTCATGGTTGTGCCTTTCACCAACGCTTGTTTCGGCTCTGCAGTTGTGTTGGATGCCTCTTTCGGCAACTGAAAACCTTTTAGTCTCCTCCACAGTATGTCAGCCATAAACTGCTTGTATCGTGCGCAATTAGTTATAAAGCGTCGATAGAAGTTGATGAACTTCAGAAAACTTCGTAGCTGTGTGAGGGAAGTGGGTGAGACATATAATTTGATGATATCCACCTCTTTCTGCGTCGTTGCTATGCTAGTAATATCAGTGATTTCTCTTGGGAATTCCTCAGTTTCTGTCCCAGAAGGCACCTACTCTGGTTATCACGCTAATATCTCCTGGTTTTCGCAACACTGCTCTAATGAGGTCTCCAGGCGTTTCCGCATCTAATCTATCGATGTTTAGGTCACCTATGTGCGCATTAGCAAACGGCAATTTAACCGTCAAGTTATCCATAAATCTTCGAAAAGTTTGTATAGCAATCCGAAGTGCAATAGGCTTCCGCTGAAACTCACTTAATCCGAATGGGGTGGTAATGACTGTATTAGTTATGTTCTCCTCACCCACCAGAATACTGTGGTAGCTGCAAAATAAGTCCTTTTCGTCCAACATTGTGGCTCCTCCAAAGGCATCAGAATAGTCCCGAATGTAGCATACCAGGCAATTGTTTAGGACAGTTTGCTTATTCAGAACTCCGTAAACACCACTGGCCGACTCTATTTCCCCGGGCAAGATGTGCAATGGCGAATCCCACCGGCAGTTCAGTAAAGGAATAACTATCAATTGAAAGATGTTTTAGAATTCTTTCGAAGAGACTCTATTCAGTGAATTTATTATCAAGCTATACAGTCGTACATATATGGTTTTTAAAGCATTATATCCGGTGAGGGAATTAGATCCAAAGTGTGAACACATGAAATAATAATAGTATGAAATGCACCTAAAATACTTGTGATTATAATCATAGTTAAGTGTCAAGTAGCAAAACAATTAATGTCATATACAGAATAATACATAAGTTGTATAGATGTTGGAAAGGGACGCATAATTATAGGATTAGTAGGTGAATATAAAATGTGACGTAATGTGGTGTGAAATTTGATACGATCGAATTCAATATTGTAAAAACAAAAAAGATTAATCATTTTGGATTTAGAATGACAAGTGGGACAAGTGGAAACAATTCAGAGTGAGAATAGTAATGATAATCGTAGTGATAAGGGAGAGGTACATAGAATAACCAAATGGACAAAAGACATAAATTAATAAGCGTCTATCCTTACACGGCCAAGGCAGAGGTAGGGATTGTACATACTTCTTTTGCACACAAACGTCCGGCTTAAGATCATGAATTGCCGAGGCCTCCGCTGTCTTTAGAAGTTTGTAAGAAGAAAAAGCGGCAAGTTAGCATGGATTCGGCAGATGATCTTAAAATCTTGGTCAGGGTTGGCAAAGTGAAAGAAGTCGATCAGATGTTCTGCAGTAGAGCTTCGCACACACTTCTTTTCTCCCTTGTAAAACCATTCTGGAATATGTTCTCGTATATCTGTGGAAAGCGTTCTCTGGCACATAGATTTGACATCTACGGAAGGCATGTCAGAAAAGATCACATTAGTTTACCGATGATAATCTGTTCACATAGATTCCAAGCATTCACATGAGCAGCATGGTAGTTGTATTAGAATGGTCTTGTATGACAGAACTACACGGTATAATAAATTATCGAAGTTCACATTTTTTATATTCTGTGAAACACACTATCGTCAGAAAATTTCATGAAAATGAACCATGTTTACACAATTACGCGTATGTAGTATCATGCAAGTAAGTGTCACACAGAATAAAAATCCAAAAGAAAATAAATGACAATCTGTCGGGCATCTGAAATCTAGGAAGAGGGCTGGACCAACAGACTGAAGTTTAATGCAGCTGTCTCACTATTGCATTTTAATTGCTAATTGCTAGGTTATATCACGCTCTTTCCATCACATCTACACGTCTTTAAACATTTCCTGAATGTAGGTACATAGCTACAACGAATGGTGGCCTCAATATAGTCCATTTTTAAACTACTTTTAAAAAATTGTTGCCTTACCTTAGCATCTCACTTTTGTCAAGCACACGCTTCATTGACATGGCTATACATCCCATCAACCATTTAACAACTGCTAAAGGTGAAGGTCTATATCACTTGACTTATGCTCCGACATTGTCTCTACAGTTTTTCTATCAGTAAAGATAAAGTGCATTTGCTGCAAAATAAATTATGTGCCAGCTGTATCCAGGAATATCGCCCTCCTTTGCTGTTCCACTTCATAAAGACTACACTTTACTTTCAGACTACCTCAGAAGTTCCCCCGAGAATTAGACATAAAATGGCTCTATGTTTCCTTAAAACAGACCATGTATTCCTAGTTAAGGAAACTCCCAGGATTCACTAATTTGTTAGCGTTTCTAATTCTATCGATGAGATCGGAGATTAACGCTGTTCGTTGGATTGGAAGTAGATAGCACTTAGTATAGCAGTAGCACCGGTTGGTATAGAAGTCGCTGTGGAGACAACACTTATCCTGTCTCAGTGTATCTTCTATGTTTTGTAAAGTCAAGCCTTGATTTTTTAAAATCTATTTTTACATTAGTGTTTTCCCACAAATTTCACTATCACACTCTTATTAACTGCCTCAAATGTTGGCATCAAGACATGTCATGTGCATGCATTTTTCACAATTACTGTACTCGGTCTTACCCTCGAAAGCGTGAGAGAGATGTTTCTAATATTCTCTACCGTAAACAACGGTTTAGGTGTTGGTTCGTCATTTTCATTTCCACCTAATTGGGCTGAGTGTTTAAGGAGACATAAAGGCTCTGGAACCAGGTGAGTGGTCTTCACCCAGAATCCCGTCTCCTGTGTTTAGACAGCTATACTTTCCTTTGAAAACCCTCAATGTTTTATTCATCATTCTGGTTTGATATCAGACTCCTTCCAAAACGTCAAAGCCAGTTAGAGTTCCAACACTGATCCCTTAGCTTTCTTTAGAAACCTTTAAGAAGATGAAGGTTTTGAAGAGCACAGATGATATGGCAGTACTCGTGTTTTATCCTCTCACCCAAAATGTTATTATTCGACGTAGATCAGGAGCCAAAAGCAACTAGATTATTTAATGTAAAAGGTATATTTCGGTATCGGTATTGGTGAGCAGTGAAGTTTGCCCAGTTACCTTATGACTGCACACAAGTAACTTAATATGACGCAAAAGTCTACTGAGTGAGAAGGATTACTGATCACCTGCCTTCAACCAAAGACCTATCGGCCCACATAGCCGGCCCTTTGACTACGATCTTCAAGCTTTCTCTCCAAAATGGAGTGTTACCGCGTGACTGGAAAGACGCTGTAGTAACCCCCATCCACAAAGAAGGCTCAAGACAAAGACCTTCAAATTACAGGCCTAACAGTCTCACCAGCACTGGAAAGAATCATCAAAAAAAGCATCATGGCATATCTGGAAAATAGCAGCTAGAGCACAGCATGGCTTCCAAAAGAACCTCTCATGCCTGTCAAATTTTATCCCTGCAAGAGAAAGCTGGGTCAAATCAAGGGACGTTGTCTTCATAGTCTTCAGCAAAGCCTTTAATGAAGTACCTCACAAAAGACTACTCATGAAGCTGGAAAGTTTTGGTATCAAAGGCAGCTTACTAGACTGGCTCAGGGAATCCCTCATAGATAGGAGGCAGAGGGTTAGGATAAACTCAAAACTCTCCTCTTGGACAGCAGTACGTATCGAAGTGCCACAAGGCACGGTGCTCGGACCTCTCCTATTTATTTTGTATATCAATGAGTTATCTCTGATCACCGACTCGCCTATGGTCCTGTAAGAGTTAGACTTAGCTTAGTGTAGACCTAAAACAACCACCCTCACAAAACTTATTCACTGCTTTCTAACCTTAGCTGTACTCTGCCTAACGTGCATGTACTAACGAACTGAATCAAAGTAAAAAGACTCGAGATGGCAAGTGTGCCTGGAACAGAGTTATATTTTACACGAATGAGAAATGAAATTAGATAAAAATAAGAGGTTATACACTTATCTGCTGCCTTGATTGTAGTAGGCTTGGAGAGTGCGTTGAATGAAAGCACAACTAGAGAGCGAACCGAAAATGTACCGGAGAGTCACGAATCGAAAGAAGGAAGAAGTGCCAAAAAGTGGATAAGTGCGTTCGAACAAAAGTTCAAATGCTCAATGTACACTACAGTCCTATACGCAGTTGACTTAAAATTTGGAGAGAGCAAAAGTAACACGTTCACGTTGCAAGAGGACCTCAACAAACTGTCAGAGTGGTCCATAGGATGGATGCTCCCGATAAATGTGGCAAAATGTGCAACCATGCGCACTGGACAAGCAAGCACGTGCTCCTACCGTCAAGCGGTGGCTGCACGTAGTTTCAGGTCATTATGGGCAATTCGCAGAGCCTTCACTAAAATCACCAGGGACATGTTCACCTCCATATATACATCTCTGGTGAGGTCAAGAGTGGAAAACTGCATCCAGGCCGCCAGTCCTTGTCTAAAAGGGGACTAACACATTCTAGAAAGGGTTCAAAGGAAGGCCACACGTATGGTTCACGGCATGACTAACTTATCATACGAGGAAAGACTAGACAGTTTAAATCTCTTCTCCCTGTCATACCGTAGGCAGAGAGGAGATTTAATCACAATGTTTAAAATTTTAAATAATGACTATGGACCTTACCTATTCTCTCTTTTCCTTCCCACCAGGTTGGAACACCTTAGAGAACATAGCAGGAGAGTTCAAAAGCCAAGAAGAAATCATATTGCTGTTGAGTACTGGTTCTCACACCGAGTCATAAACTCATGGAACGGACTCCCAGAAGAAGTGGTATCTGCAACCTCAACTGATTCGTTCAAGAAGGGTTTGGACAACCACAGAAATTTACTAGAAAAGGATTGACATAGGCTCCAAGCCTTCTATCCTCAACCAATAAATCTGAATCTGAAACCGAACCACTCAACCTAAATAGTAATTGTTAGAACTCAATACTACATGATGAAAGCTGTAAGTGAACTATTTTGGAAGATTCTTTGACTCTAAAGATTCTCAGAGGTGATAAAGTAAGGATGCGAAGTCATGCTTGGAAACTAGAATACCAGTTTGATGTTTCTATCCTGGAAATATGGTATTCACGTGTTTCACTTGAGGCGGGCGGTTTGTATTCTCAAGGTCAGCGCTCCCGAATGTTTGAGCAGTCACAAACATGCCCAAGCTGCAGGTCAAGCAAATACAGTAATCCTCAGTTAAAGTTGATGGTGAATGTGTGTGGTCATTCACTGTAAGTAGTAGAAACATTATTCATTCGACTGTCTAAGATGCGAAAACTGTGTTGAAGTTCTCTTCGTAAGGGGATCTGGCTTGTGTGCACAATGTAAAACCCCTATTCGGAAAACAAATTTCCGTTATCAGCTGTTTGAAGACCCATTGGTTCAAAAAGAAGTGGATATTCGTAAAAAGGTGCTTAGCGAGTATGTTTTACTCACCGGTGTAACTTCAAAACCGTTAGTTTTAACAAGCGCGAAGATGACTTTGATTGTCCAGAAGATTACGAGTCTTATTTGGAAAAGGTGGAGGAAATAAGTGAGATGTAACATTTATAACAAGCTTTGCAGTTTACAATCTTACTAACGATTTATATGTAGAAGATACGAAAAGGTACATAGAGAACTACAAAAAGGAGAATAAAGACATAATTAAAAGGAATCGAACAAGGCCAGTAAGTTTTTTTTACATTTACTCAAAAAATCATTTGCTTTATATGTCTACTAGTTTTCCACCTGTCCACAAAATTGAACAGTATAGTGAACTTTTTGAAACCAATGCTTTTGTTATAGAGATCATCCTGGTTTGTTTTTCTGTATAGTGTAACACACTAACACCCATTTCATTCACCACTTGGTCACCAATTAGCCATTTCCAATATTGGCATTCAATTTAGTCACTCTTCAATTTTAAAGTGGTTATTAGGTACTTATTCTCAGTATTCGCAGTCATTTCATTGGGGTGTCAGCAAAAGTGGAGTTACAGGATTTCATTCATGGTTTGACATCGGTTAGAGAACCATTAGATGGCCTGGGAGTGCTGGACAACCGCTTCGTCCCACTTCGAGACTCTTCACCAGTACTCACCCACCGGGGTTCGGACCCAGGACCTTCTGGTTACAAGGCGGGTTCGTAGACCGTTAAGCCACTGGGACCCGATCCAGTGGCCAATCCGTGAATTCCAACTTCTGCCAATTCACGACATAACGCGACCGCTAGCCAATGTCTTCGGCGAGTATTTGTCCTCACACTCAACCTGCTGCACCCTACTGGTCACGATGTCTTACTAGAACTTCAGGTAACTACCTACCTTAATAGGGCCAGTCGCTAGTGAGCATCTGGGAGATGAATCGGACGTACTCTGAATAAACATTTAAGTGAAATCACATACCATGTCCTCTAGTTGCACCCAAGTGGGAAGCGCCTGGGTGGGCATCCGAAGGTGATGCGTAGGAAAAAATGGAAGCTCGTGAGCAATCATGGAGCCAGCTTAGATAGACAACAGAGTAGGGAGTGCAACGGTGATGTGTTGCCGAAGTCTTATATGCCACTCGGAATCCAAAATACTCACAGAAACACTCTCCTAATCTGTAGGTGACAAACATGACCAGTAAGTGTGGGAAACCTACAAAGAATTTACGTCTTTGACCACATTTGCTTCCTGTAACGATGCCAATAAAGAAGTAAGAGGGACTGATCAGTCAAAGAAATTACCTATGTCCATCACCGGAGGTGGTTGAGACATGTCGCCCATACCGATTCAGTACCCACCGAAATATGCACTGTTTATAGCAGTGGCACTAGATTTAGAGGATCATGGCCATTGGTTAGAGTCATGAAGATGATATTGGGTTGCCTGACTGAGGTTTATGTACTTACCTGACATGTGTTTAAAAACACTAGAAGATATCATCTAGTTGTCGGCAAATATTCAGAGACATTCAAATCTAATCTTAATTGCCAAGTCGCGCTTCTTTACTTTCTAGGTTTTCTTTCTTTATCCTCTGACATTCTGTGACATATGATTATACCATTACCATTACATTTTTTGTTGCTTTCTATTTAATGTGAAGAAATAAGACGCTAAACCCGCAAGCAGCACTCAGGAATGCTTGTTTCTTTGTTGATTATGTCTCTTAGTTCCTTTTCAAGTTCCTTAAGATGATATGATGGAACTTATTAAACTGTTGAATATTCACATGTAGAAAACCACAGAGGGAGAATTCACACAATTAGAGGAGTTTAGAGAATTCTTGGTTAATGTGATTAGTGCTTCGTAATTGTTCGTACCATTTAGACGGGTAATTTTATCCTAAACTATTTGAAAAAGGAATTAATTTGAATACAATTTCGGCGCTGTAGTAGAATATAATTCCATGTTAGATAAGTTTATCTGACAGAACACTGTAAGTATTAATAACTGGTTAACGTTCTGATCACAGCAGGGAGTAAGACTATACAAACCGAGTTAACAATTAATGTGAGTACATTGACACGATAATGCACAATGAATTTCGCTCGAAATGTTATAGTAGAAATTGTGTATATTTTTGTCTTCTTTACTTTCTTAGTCAGCATCACAAACTTTTTATGAGTGCGAGCTAGAGCGTGAATCTATTTTGCGTGAAAAGCGAGAAAGAGAAGAGGAGGAAGAAGAAGGACAACCGGAAGCATTAAAACCAACTAGTGCATCTGACGACCCTACTACTTCAATGGTAACAGAATCTGAGGGAGAAAAACGAAAAAGCTTGGTTCCCCCAACACCTCGAACAAATATGCTCATCCCACCTGCCTCATCCTTTGGACGCCGACCGCCTACTACTTTTGTTCCCCCGTCAATATCTGCACCTCCATCTTATATCGTACCGCCTACACAAGGTGTAGGTTATGCACCCAGTTCTGCGTTTCCTGCCCGCTCCTTAGTCACTCCAGTGAGTGGTCTTATGGCTCCACCTTCCATGTTCCCTGTAGCACCCCCTACTGGCAGTTCGTCAAATGACTGGCTAAGTAGACCACGTCATGCAGTACGTCTGCCTCACATGCAATCTGTTCGAAAACAACAAGACACTGTTTTGATACCTAGTCAACATACGGTACGTATATTTATGTTTGCAGAATATTTTATAATTTACTCACACTTCACGGGTTTTAAATATTATTTAATTTGACGTGTTTATTTTCAACCCGAAAATAAAGCATACTATAATAAGGTGTCAGTTAGAAAAATGGTGGATCAACAACACTGAATGAAGGAAGAAACTTGAAGAAAACGATAAACGGTGACCACACCAATATATTACCGTTGATGAAAAAGTTTTCCTAAGACTTACTCTGTCTACAATCTAGTTATCTAACAGTAATCATTTGGTAAGTGTATTATTCTTAACACCATTATTTTTTGCGATTTCGTGCAGTTTGGCTTGAACTTATCCAGTATGCATTTGGAAATATCTAGCATGAATGAAAATGAAATAGAACGATCTTGTGCTTTGTTCAAATTTAACTTTGCAACTTCAAAGTTTATCCGTTTTGTTAGTAGTCGTGCTTTTATGATTCCAGAAATTGTTTTTCACTTGATAATCTCCCACAAATAACACAAACGGAAACACCTTGATTACCGGGATTATCATATGGAAGGTTTTCTCGCATGCATATCCCAAAAGCTATTAAATAGGCCATTGAGATGACAGACTCCAGCATAAATAAACCGGTTTACTTGTTGAGTACGAATCAAGGTTGCGGTAATTAAAAATTCAAAGGGGGTTACACAATAGTTTGTGGTGAACACTAACCCACATCGCTTTTTAAAATTCGTTGTTGGAAAGAAAATGTAAAGAGTAATGAGGCGTGCTTTTCATGCAAAAGAATTAGGCTGACTAGAAACGTTTCTTTGTAATGAAATCACTCAAAACCCGCCATGTGGATAATATTATACGAGGACTGATAATTACACTTAAAATGACAGTAATTGTTGTGATGTTTGTTAGTTAGAATGATAAAAGATTGATGTAATTAATATTATTTTGATAGAGTAATTCTTTGGATTTGTTGACAGATCAGCCAATACAATCCGCTGCGCTCCAACTAGGCCTTTTCTTCAGGGTCGCTACGCACGTATTGCATTCATATTGATTACACTTCGGCATTCATAAAAGGAATCATGAAGAATATTAATGTACTAACCTGTTTTACATCATTGTAATTGTCTGAATTCACTACAAATTATACTGACACCATCAGATACCTATTCTTTCTCCCCTTACATTTTTTCATTATAGTACGCCAATTACCTAAACTAAGCATTTATCTTTAAATGTTTTATATGTCGATAGTGAAATATGGCTCCATAATTCTTTATTTGCTCATTTTTCCATTAGGACACTGTAAAATACGAGTAACCGTATTCCTCATAATATTCTTTCAATGTATATACGTATGGATAATGATACTCACCTATCAGACTTGTCACCACGGTTCCTTTCTCAGCTACATTCAGTCTGTTGTCGTTGAACTAAAAGTTTGTGTATTATTTCCGTGAAAATTTCCTTCAAATTTTATTAAATCACAGGAACACATTAATAAGACTGATTTTTTTTTCATACAAAGTCACACCAAAGGGGTTTTCAAGACTCAAACTAGAACTGAGTTATTCTTTGAATTCCACTGCCCGTCAAGTGTCTCATTTTAGAAGTTTTGCTGAATAAGGTAAGATCATGACTTGATAAGAACGCACTGATGAACAGCTCTTCTGTAAAATTTTTCTCATGTTTTTAATAGTACTTTTCGCTCGTATTATTCTCTACCATAATTGTTGTTTATCTGGTCGCCTGTTTTTCAGAGTCAAAATACAAAACAGGAGGCAAATGAAGCCAATCGGTTTGTTTATGAACCTTATCAGGTTGAGTTATGTGGCCCAACTCCACCACTTCCTAGCAATCAGCATACTCGCTGGAATGACATTCTTGAGATGTATGAAAATACCATAATAGCCAATCTTCCTCGTCAGACACGATCACCTCTTTATTCTCCGGATATAAAACCTAACTTTGAAGCAGAGCATGACTATAAAGTTGATGATTACAATATTGAAGCAAGTGATATTAAACCAACATGTAACCCGGAAACAGGTTTTCTAAAAACAGAATACGATAGTGAAAATGATCATCATGTTGAAGGTATGATATCAAAAACTGAAGATCCTGCCAAAGAAACTAAACGCTTGGGTCTTTCCCATAAACTAAATGTTGGTGCCTGTGGAATTGCGCCTGCTGTATTTATAGAAAGATGTTTAATGGAATCACGTTGTGGATTGTTTATATAGTTGCTGAAAAATTATTTCATTCAGAATAATTAATGTACATAGAGAAACATATTTTCTTATTGAAGTAAAATATACATTTAATCGGGTACTGGGTTTTGTCAGATTTCTTGTTCATCTTTTCCCTACTGTTTGTTGAGACGTTTGTAAAATTAAGATTAAAATATGCAAATATAACATATTCAAGTGATGAAGATGATAGTACGATTGAACGTCATTGTCATTTAGTACTACTGAGTATCTTGTCCCTTTTGCATAATATAGGACTATACTTCACTATTAATAAGAGCTGGGTCTAGGCTTCAGCTAGTTAGTTACTTTAAATTTATGCTTTGACTTATCTTGTTGCACGGAAAGTGCCAGATGAAAACCAGCATCTTTCCAGCCTTCAAATAAAGTTAAGTAAACATAAATCCTATTATTGCATACAGTTTAGTCACAGTTTCCACATCTTATATCTTAAGTACTTCATTGGAGCTCAGCTTCTGAGACTCAGGCTGATTGTTCGCAATCATTAAAAAATAAACATAATTTTACGTTTTGTTGCATGTTTTGAGCAATAATCTCTAAACATTTTATAAGTAAATCATTGCATTTTAAAGACTCGATAAAGCGTAATGTTGGTGAGAAAAAACCTTTGTAGTTCAGAGTGTGAATTTTCTGGTTAAAGTTTTGTCCATTCTGACATTGTTTGAACGAGAATTTCATTCACATTCTAGAGGTACTTCTCATTGTTTTATTATTTACTTTTACATTTTGTACAATTATAGTTAAAGATAGTCTGCAATAGGTACATGTAGTGAATAAATTGACCACATTATCAACTGTATTATTTGGAATTATGACTTTGCCTTGTGGTAGTTATGTTCACCTGTTCACAGTGCATGTTTTTTCACCAGGCTGAAATTTGTCACTATATACCAGCTGTAACACTTATGTTTTGTAACCTGTAAACTAATTTTCTTGCAATAAATAATAAGTATCATAGGGAACTCAGTATAGTAGTGATTCTTGGTCTCATGAGTGTAGCCTTCGACTGCACTCTTGTTTCCACGGTATGGGTATTTGGTTCATATCATTTTAGATATTGGCGGTCTATGTTAAAATCTAGAGAAACAAATAATTCCTGTTTTATGGTAGTTTCCATTACTACACTGGAATTTATTTTTCCATTAGTACTATGTTACACTACTTGACTCCGTAATGTATTATTATCTGCCTTTCACTATCAGCTGTGGTGTTGGTTTACGCATCACTGCCAGTGTTTATGACTTAGTGTGTTGTACGTCAAAAGTAGGACGGGGAGTACAATTCTTGTTCTCCGTCCAAATGCTTGCATTCTAATATACCATATGTTTGCGTATTTCAATTTCAATTTACTAAGTTATTCTTATTGTGTGTTAACTTTGCATTCTTTCTTGATGTTTAAGGCTGCAAGAATCTTCACTTTTATTAGTTACTGTAGATCTCCGGCGTGTTTCTTTACTTACCCTGTAAAGTATTTTTCAAAATCACCTACACTCTTCAGTATGGATCAAACAAGGGAACATTTACAGAAAGAAGATCATTCAGGGATGACTGAAGTATCTAAAACGAAAGAGACACTTCCACCGTTAAGTGAAATGAAATTAGACCAGTCTCGATTTAAACGCGATGTTCCTATGGTATTTGTCGGTATCCAGTGTGACAAACATTTAAAGTCATCCGTAGACAAGTTGAAGCCTTTTCTACCCCATTTTATTCGATTCCCAAAAATATCCAAGACATAGTAAGTTTTATATTACATTGATTTCATTTGACTTCCACATTGTCTTTAAATACAGAATTATTCAAGTCTTCGAAATGAGTAACTTGGATAATTGTCTATTTAAAAAAATTGACTTTGAAGTCCACCGAACCCTTCAAAAAACCGATGCTTTTCACGTCAGTCACGTAGATAATGATGCTAAAAGTCTTAAAATACTCCGGAATGTGTATGAAGACCATGTTTCTGGTCTTGTGAAGTTTTATGAAGTTATAAATTTGGTGAAAATATATCCAGACAGTAAAATAGAATGAATTCGCATAAAAGATTGCTTTTCTTAAGATACTCATAGTACGTTAATAGTTCATAGTTTAGTAGTGTAGCGTGGCTTATTGATTGAAGCACTAGGCTTGGATTTCGTTTCCATCCACATCATCATGCATATCTATGAATAACTATAGATCTTGTTACAATGACTTAGAGTATCTCAGGTTTTGTTTAGCAGTTGCTTAAAATGCATGAAACTGAACACTACACATTGTGTTTAATGTACGTGAAAAACATCCACTAGAGTTTCCCAATCAGGTTTGTGAAGGGAAAGATTAGTTTAGGGATTATGTACTGTAACGCTATAACTCATGTGCGTCGGTTGCTCAGCAGTAGAATGCTCGCTCGTGGTCCGGGTTTCGATTCGTGGCCGGTTCACACCTTTACCTCCCATGACCAGTTGTAAGCGGGACAAACAGGGGGGGGGGTTGGGTGCAAGACCAACAACCCCACCCCGTAAAAACATCACTGCTACTGGAACTTCAAAGCTCAAGCTTGAAGCTCTATGTTTCACTCGGGTTGCAAAGGAATAAAATAACTGTAACTCATGAAATCACTATCTTCTTAAGCGAATTTTATGGCGAGATGAAGACTTGTTGACTCAAGATCTTTGGTTACGTTATTGACGTTTTCATTAGTTTATTATCACTGTCAAGGAGAGTTAAAACTGGAGTTTATATTTTCAACAAGTGGACCTCTCATTATGGTCTTAATGTATAATAATTATTGAGACCATCTAGTTTTTCTGATTATGCCTTATATCTCTTATCCTACTTCAATTTTTGCAATTTTGCTTGATTTTTATTTTTTGAAAAAAAAACAAACTAATCTCAGCACAGACTCCAATGGATTACTGCGTAAATTAATGCTAATTCGAATGCCTGAAAGCGATAAAATTTTACAGTGGATGAATGAATTGAATCAGTGGAATATTGAGCTACCTAAAGATTATTCAAATCCTCAGTTCATCGATTTAACCACAAAAAATTCACCCAAGACATTAAATAATGTGGAAGTATTAAATTTGTCGAATCAGGATATGGAGAAAGTAAAGAGTAAAGGAAACGTGTTTGATGAACTAGTTAATTCACCGTGTCTTGTAAATGTATCCGTTGGTTATGAAAACTTCACGTTTGATCAGGTTATTAAAGAATTGTTACCGGATTTCGCCTTGCCTATAACTGGATTCAGTGTAATCGGTCATGTTGTACAGTTTAATTTAAAACCTGAAGCATTACCATATCGTCATATAGTTGGTAAGTGATAGTCTAGTTTCCTCACCTCACTTCATTCATTCATTTTCTTTAGTTTATAAGAATAACGTTTTGTAAATTTTTTGTAAATTATATTTCACAGGGAGTGAAGTGGTAGAGGGCGTTGACCAATTCACTTATTTGGGAAATTGTATCAGCCCAGCCAATGTCAGTGGGTTGATCGCTGATGAAATCTCAGCATGGATACAGAAGTGTCGTTTGGGATGTGCCAGTTTACGCCGTCTCTGGCTTAGTAGGTTGTTTAGCTGTCTTTGATCATAGGTAGGTGCCTGCGTTCTATCCACCTTGTGAAGTGGAATACTGAGGTAAGGCATCGGTCGAATGCTAAGTAAGGAGGGAGGGGAAATCCATATTAGTTTGTTTATTAGATGTATCACACAGTGAAACAGTTTTATTTAATGGATGACGTTTAGAACAAAATTTATTGTTCATAATCATATCGATTGTAATCACACGACTTTGAAACCTGAGTTTTATAGTTTTCTTTGTCTTCTCCTATTTGTCGTAGGGGTAGTAGAATTTTCCTGATATCTGTGACAGGTGTTGAATCATCCCCATTACATGTGTTTTCAGTTGATTCGATAAACAAAGCTTCTGTTATCAATCTCTCCCTCCACCCTGTGGCATTAGATTTTAAAACTGTCATCCTATCCCATCCTATTGTATGGTTGTTTGTAATTGCATGTAGACAGTGCTATAGCTGGACTATTCTCTAGATTTCTTATCTCATTTGGGTCAACTAATCTAGATTTTGCTAGGTTTTTATGTTCGGCTAGTCTGACTGCCCCTGTTCTACTACTTTGACTTATGTATACAACCTGACAATCACTACAGCAGGGTATTAGATAAACTAAATTGTTTTGTTTTAACGGCTCCACAGGATCCTTTAACCGACAAAGCTTGTTTCTAATTGAGTTTGTGGGTTTGAATGCCAGCCACTTTTATTCCTGCCAGCATTGTTAAGAATTCTGGTTAAGGTTATTGAGGTTTCTTTCCTTGTATGGAATTACTACTGATGATTTGGATTCCTTATTGTTGGTGTCGTCATTATTATTATTATCACTATCGCTACTATCATTATTTATTTTATTTTTACATTTCCTTACATATTTCCTGACTAATTTATCCGGGTAATTATTAAGTTTTAAGGCTTCTTTTATGTGTATCACTTCCTTGGTGCTACTTAGTTTTTGTGCTCTGTCACTTAAACATTTCACCAATCCTATTTTTACTGACATAGGATGGGATGATCGGAAGTCCAAATATTTGTTTGAATGTGTGGGTTTCCTGTAAACACTAGTGTTTAACTTCCCATCTTCTTTCCTTTTTACGTTGCAATCTAGCATTGGAAGCTCCCCTTCCTGACTTTCCAATTCATAAGTGAATTGAATTGCCTCTACCTTCGATTTGATGTGTTCGAAAAATCTATCTATATCTTGCGTTCTAAGTACAGTGAATATACCATCTCCACCATACTTTTGAAGTGGGGGTGAACGTTTCAATTGCTATGTTTTCCTACCTATCCGTGAATATATCTGCTACAACCGGGGATATTGGTGATCCCATGGCAACTCCCTCAGTTTGTTTGTATATTTTCCCTTGGGATTTAAATACTGTGGAAGTCAGGCATAGCTGCACTCCCAGCACTATGTCGTCAAGTGGCATTTTTGTCCTAAGTTCGAGTTCTTGGTCAGAAATGAGTTCGTTTCTGACTGCCTCGATAGCCATATTTATTGGTATACGTGTGTATAAACTGACATTGTCAAAACTAGCCATTTTTTCTTCATTATCTAATTTTAAATTATCTAATCTGTGTTATAGTTCATAAGAATTAGTTAGTCTAGATTTCGAGTGGCTTTTTAGAGGATTTAATACCATGGATAAATATTTGGATAATTCATAAGTAGGTGAATTTCGAAAATCGACTATAGGCCTAATAGGGTATCCTGACTTATGAACTTTAACAACACCATACATCCTACTGCGGTTATTAGTTTTGGGCATTAAATCAAACCACTTAGACTCACCTAGAAACGGCTTCATTCGGCGTATAAGGTCCGCTGTGGATTTCTTAACTTTATTCATAACTGTGTCTATCGATTTATTAATTTCCTCAAATGGGAGGGGAAATCAATAGACGAGGAGGCTGTGAGGCTACATCGACTGAGGTGGCTAGGACATGTGTTACGTATGCCTGGCCATCTGTCGCCTTCCTCGACGGCCAATATTTGCTGACATAGGAGGAATCAGGTTGGAAAAGAGCCAATGGTGGTCAAATCAAAACATGGCCTCATCAGTTAACGAAATCCACAACAGTTAGTTTAAGTCAGTTAGGTTGGCAGGTGTAGACACTTGTTTCCTGGTTCGGGTCCTCGGGATGGTAAAAACCAATAAAGGCTGGTGACAATTAGTGATGTGGCTCAAAATCATTCTCAGTGCATAGTGCAGATGCATCCACTCCTTGTGACTTATAATACCCAATGAAACTGTTGTTCTTCGATATTACTACTCTTTTCGCCTTATATCTCTGTTTTGCACTTCTTCTTACTTTCTTCTCTTGCTTTGTGTGAGACATGGAGTGTGGCGACTCGAACTGCTGCACATCGGTACAAAGTTCTGTTCATCTCTCGACATACTGTTTTAAATTAGAATGATTCTTAATTAAGTTTAACATCAGTTTTTGTGTATTGCGCTTGAACTTGGCTTCCGTGCCAATATAGTTACGAATATGACGCTTCTGGGAAAGGTCTTTTATAGACTGTGCAATTATTTATTTATTGTTGGTTTTGTTTTTTAGTTATATTTGCCATGAAGTAAAATTGCGATTGTTCTTAAATGGAGAAACAAATTTAGCGTTAATTGCACAATAACATAGATAATTTGCGATTTATTGGTGTCAAAATATTGACTTATATAAGTGTAATGAAACCTAAATTTCTGTTTCGTTGGGGGTTTTCTACTGCACAACAAATTGACTGTCATTCCAGTGTTGTCATTTTCGATTCTACTGCCTATTGATCTGTTCATCTGTTTCTTAGATTGGGGTAAACACCATCACTTATTTAATTGTTTAAGATACTTGAATTTGCTTAAAAATGGCTGAAAGACAGAAGCTTAAACTATTATAATCTGCTTTGTCTTATGAAGTTTGCATTGTAGTTCCACTGTTGCTCTAGAGTCATATTCATTTTTCAAACTGAATTGTAAACCACATGCTTTATGTGAAGGCAGATGGTCACATGTGATTACTCAAACATGTTTAAGTGAGGTTGTTTTCCAAGCTCATGTTTTGGTAGTCGAAAGTGGAATCCTCAAACGGGGTGGTTTCATCTTCACAGTCACTTTTTCAACCCTTTTTGTAATTACAGTTTAATTTTTCTGTTTTATAGGTCAGGTAGCACTTGATAAGATACCAAATATTCGTACAGTTATTCACAAAGTTTCAGTTATCGAGTCAGCCTATCGAACATTTGAAATGGAATTACTGGCTGGAGTTCCAGATTACGTTACATCAATGCGTGAGAATGGTACAACATTTCATTTAGATATCAGTAAAGTTTACTGGAATCCACGTTTAGGTGAGTTTTTATTCTTCACACAATTGAGGCTAATAAATTTGATAACTTGTTTTGGTATAATGTAATTCCTTCGAAGAAACCGTAATTCTTTTAAAAATAAGTGTATATTGTTTCGTTTGTGTAGGTTAGTGGCAATCGTAGTTTCTGCTTTTTTCCTATCGATTTCTCAATGAATGACAACTTTATTTTATGTCTTTACAAAGTTATATTTTGAGAAAAAAATATCCAGCATTATTTTAAATTGGCAGACCTACATCGACATGTCTTAATCTGTAACACTGTATTTCTCAATAAGATATCTGGTCCACTAGTGTTCCGTTCAACTGTCTTGTGATATTCTCGCAGTCAGTATCATGAACAATTGCACACCTTAGTGCTTGGTCCTATATTTATTACGTCGAGGTTCTGTTCTCTTACCCTTATCAATGATAAAGGCTCCAACCGCCTAGTTTTCTCCTTGCATATGTAGTTAGGATATATGTGATTCTTCTTATTGGCTAGAAATTCGATTTTTGTTGTCTTCAACGTTATTTGATACTGGTTACACACAATTGCTTTTTTTGAACCCTTTTTACCATCACCACTGAGTTTGTACTTCTGCAGTTGTAAATTTTTAACGGAATATGAAAAGATGTCTAACTTGTTCATGTCGCGTAAGTGTTAATGCAGTAAAAATAAATCTACAAATATAAGCCGTGCGTTGGTGGCGCAGAGGCTAGGACGCTCGTCGACCATGCACATGGTCCGGGTTTCCATCCTCGGCCGACGCACTCCTTTACCTCCCTAAGCCAATAATAAAGCTGGTAAAGAGGAAAGGTTGGGCATGAGGCTAGCAACCCCATCCTGTAAAAATAAACACTGCTACAGAAACTTCAAGCCTCTATCTTGAAGCCCAATGTTGCACTGGAAACGTGAAGGAATAAAAAAAATATAAGCCTAATGATTACTCTTAGGAAACAGCTTACCGTCGTCACATATCACTTGAAATTGCTCTCAGACTCTCCTAACTGGTAGTTCTCATATCCTGAATTTAAGTAGTCTGGTTTTCTTTCATTCTACAGTAAGTAGTCTTATTTTTTTACACGGTTAAGGGGTTGTGAAACTATTGATATTTAATACTGAAATCTCAACTGTACCATAGTTCATAGTATTATCACGGCAACTGCGCATTTGATGCATAGATTTTGATCACTGTCTAAGATTAACCATTTAGATTAGCTTTTATTATCATCATTATTCGCCAATCTAGTCGGTGAACATCATTCAGCGAAATGGGAATTGTTTTATTTGTAAATACAATGAGTCGATCCGAGTAACATTCACGAGTCTCTTCAAAATTGATTAAGATTACTGTCAAGAGTATCTACGGGTTTTCACAGAGTAACTCCTAATATTTAACACTGAAACAAGTGTAAATCCTATAGTTACCTCAATGGCCTCATTCTACGTTGCTTTACTATTGTAAATACTGATAGGAATTAAACTTGGATCATATCAAATGACTATATTTTTTAGGAATGTCAACTCTAAAAATCTGTGTACCTTCTGTAATTCTTTCATACTTGGTAAACATGGGAGATTAGTTAGATGTTATCAAATTTAAAGTCGCAATTCAGCAATGACGTTCTAGTAATTACTTACTAATTTTCGAATGTATGTTCAACCTGACGTAAATTTCTGATTTTAATAAAATGCAACTTTGAGATTATCAAAGGTAATTAAGAATGGTTCTCTTCGAAGGCAAGTTATTGAGAGATATGCAATTATAAACTATAATAGTGTGATAAGTTTAATCTTTTTAATTACTTGTACTGCATGCCTTAAATCCTATTTACACATCCCTGCGCTAATTGTTTTACTTTGCCCATCATTCTCAGTTTGTCTACTTTTATTTGTAAGTAATTCGGGAGGATAAACTACAACAATATAAGTACATATTTGATTATTTTTCGGTTTTAATTCTACTTTTTGTTTTGTAAGACCCATTTTCAAGACAAATGATTTCGAAACGAATTTAGGAGATGCTGGTCATATCAGAAAACTTTTTGTGAATGCAGGTGTTCAGTGAATGTAATTAATACAATGCTCACAGCAAATTGAACGTAAATACTTTCAGGTTATATCCGGAACTGAAATCACCTAGAGAACCATTGATAACTGGGGAGTATTGGTCAGCTGTTTCGCCCTAGTTTGTGATCCCTCAAGAGTACGTGCCCATGAAACCAAAACCTTCAGGTCACTTCAAACCAACATTTACATACTTTGTTAGATATTTTCGATTCTCTTATCTTTTGTTAGCGTATCTAAATCCACCACAGTGCACTTTATTTATCACCTTCATTGCATTCGATTCAATTCAGGTACTGAACACACACGGGTTGTAAATAATTTACGACCATGTCTTCCAATAACTGATCCACTTATTAATCCTAAACCGATTCCCGGTGATCGTGTAGTTGTCTATGATGTGTTTGCTGGTGTTGGACCATTTGCTATACCGGCTGGTCGAAATGGATGTCATGTATTGGCAAATGATTTAAATCCTGATTCATTTATTTGGCTTAAAAAGAATATTACTGAAAATTCATCACGTAAACGTCCTCTGCAGAATATCACCTGTTACAATATGGATGGACGCGAATTTATACGTGAAGTTAGTTGTGACTACTTATTGGTTCTTTGTTTGATTTTATATTTGCATTTTAAGATTATGCATCTGTCACTTACCTATGAATTGGCTTTTCAGTTTTTTTTTATTACATCTACCTTATGCCGAGGATCCATTTGAAATATTAAGTTTTAGTTAAATTGACACTGAAATAATGAGCATTTCTTTGTAGGCGAATTCCAGAGTAATTAGTCTTTCTCTTAATAGTCTTTCACCACTGGAAGTTTAATTTGAAAGTCAGTGTGTGTCCTAAGTGCTGTTATTTTCGTTAGATTATTCGATTATCCGTATTTAATTTTGAGGCACTTTTCAAAACGCTAAGTTTCAATATATGGCTGAAATCTGCATTAAATTTCACTGTAAGTGGTTGATTTAGACTATAGTAAGAAAACATTATCTGGTCGCCATTGTGCTCAATTTGTCTCTTCAAATTTCTAATAGTTACTGAGATATAATAATTTCCATGAGTTTGTTTGTAAGGGTTTGATTTGTTTCAAGTTTTATCCCGGATTGATATCAGTTAGAGAACCATTGAAAACCAAGGAGTACTGGACATCTGTTTCATTCTGGTTTGGGACTCGTCGGCAATACACACCCACCAGGTTTCGAAGCCCTTGACCTTCCGGTTACAAGGTAAGCTTGTAGAAACTCGGTAGGTGCGTACTGCCGATAGGGACGAAACAGTTGTCCAATACTCCATGCTTTTCAATAGTTCTCAAACTGATATCAATGCGTGATCAAACTTGAGATATAATAATTGCTGAATTTCTTTAAAACTGCATTTACTGTCCTTAACTAAAGATTATTTATAATGAAGTTCAGTACTTGACTGTTTAATAAATACTTTGGTATATTCAGCAACTTTTCACTGCTTTTACACAACAAACGGTGTTCTTACAGAATACACAGAGAAATACGAATGTTCAGCGCTTATGACCGCATTGGCATATACGGAGATTTCATCTATGGGTGAAATTGACGTTCAGATTACACTGATTCAATGTTTAAGTAAATAGTTATGACGGTTTGTTTTGAAACTTTCCTGTACTTTGATCGAAGTTAGTTATGTCAGATATTTTTTGGACACCATATACACTAATCATTTCGTGCACATTTCTTTCTAGATTTTGTTACCACACTATAAAAAATATGGAAATTATAACCTGGAGAAGTCACCTAATCAGGATCCTGTTTCACTATCAATTGATCGTTTCGTAGTTATTATGAATCTTCCCCAACTGGCTATAGATTTTTTAGACTCATTTGTACCACCAACGTATTGTGTAGAATCCCTCAGTGCAGATACTGTCAGTGAAGCAGAGCCAACTGTTCATCAGAAATTCCTTAAACCTTTATGCATTTACTGTTATTGCTTTATGAGACGTAACATAGAATCAGAAGAAACTGTACAGATACGCTTAGCCAAAGCTTTAAACACAAATGTTGCAGATTTATTTAATCTGATGAGCCCTTCAAAAGATAATAATAATAATAATAATGTGAATTTTGGACGAAACGAAGACAAATGTTTTATCAAAAATTGGAACTTACGTTATGTACGCAATGTTGCCCCGTTCAAAGATATGTATTGTGCTGAATTTGAATTATACTTACCGAAAAAGTGGTTATTATATGATTACACTGTTCCAGCAGCAAAACGCAGTCGAAATATTGAGAATGAGATTAGTTGACGGAGGAAAATAAAAGACTAACCTAGTAGTTTGTTTTATTGTAAATAATATTTATATGACTACTGCTACTACTTTTCAGTTGTCTTTGTAAAAAGAAAAAGCCTGCAAAGCTGTTTAATAATAAACCAGTCTATTGAATTCAGTTTTGTCTTTGTTTGTTCTTTTGTATATGCGTTTAAGTAATTGGTTGTTGTTCGAATGCTTCCTGTATGGAAATACCGATTCGAGTTTAGAATTATGAAGTAGTTTCGTATTTAATAATAGCTCGAACGTGTAATCAAGCGTCTTGCAGTAAGAGCGAACACGTCTATGCTTCTTACGTGGCAGACGATTGAGTTAGTTCATTCACAAAAACGCAGACCTGTATGCAAAAGGACAAAATACTATCGATCGTCTTTTAACGAAGTATAACGACGGCCAATCAGTTATCACATGAGTTTGACTAGAAGTTGGGTTACCAAACAAACTGTATTTATAATTCCTTCCGTGTCAGAGTAGAATTTAGGCATTGCGATAGAATATAATTAAATATTGGAAAAGCTTATTTGACATACGACATGGTGATACAGTATACGGCGGTAGAATGCTCGCCAACTTCACTCCGTAAGAAATAACAGCTACAGAAATTCAAAGTTCTATTTCGAAGCCCTATGTCCCACTCGGAAATTAAAGGAATAAAAAAACAGTGAAACAGTATTAATTAATACTGTGTTATGTCAGATGAACTCATCTAATATGATTCCTATCCGTTTTATGTCGTGATACAAACGATCTTGTCAAACATAATAAAATGAATAGTTACTGTTTGGTACTTAAAATAAGAAGTAGTCACCTCACTAAGTACTAACTGGCACTTGTACTCAGGGTTACATAAGAGCAAGAAGTGCACTAGTAATTTTTTTTTCAAAATAAATGAATTTCAGGCAGACTGTAGTGGTAGTAGCGTAACAGCAGAAGGCAAGACAGAAGTAAAGACATATTTTCAAGTGATTAAACCGCTATTTATATATAAACAGTTTTATATTCTTTAACCAATCACTGAGCGTGTGATTTTGGTTTACATTAAACGATATGAAATAAAATGTTCAAATACGTATATTATTTTGTTGCTAATGCAGTATTGAACTGTGGGAATATGTAGGAATAATGATAATCCGTTGGAACATAGTGTATCACATCACCACACTCGTCCCCACGTTAAATAGTTTAGACTGGAGTCGGTTCGATCTTCTTGGTGTTGGCGTCGTCGTTTGCTTATCTCGCTGTATCCATTTCTGGATCTCGCTGACATTCATCTGTTTCTCTTTGTTTGCATTTCTGTTGGTATATACGTGACCACTTCTTGTGGTAACCGTGTATAGTCCTTCCAACTTTGGAAGCAGTTTGGGAATACTGTGTACTTCCAATTTACACTCTGTTCGGATTTCACAGCGTCCATCTTTTTCTTTCTTATTACATTGTTGATTGCTTTCCACTCCGTCCGCCATATCGTTATATTCTACTATTGGTGGGGTGGGGGCCAGTTCTTGTTATTTATCGGTAGTCGCAGTTTCCTCCTGTACATGAACTGAAACGGTGATTTCTTTGTCCTTTCTTGGGTGGACCCACGATGTGCTAGCAGCATCTGGTTTCAACACCGAACTTTGCACCGATGTGCAGCAGTTCCAGTCGCCACACTCCATGTCTCACACAAAGCAAGAGAAGAAAGTAAGAAGAAGTGCAAAACAGAGACAGTAAACAGAGATATAAGGCGAAAAGAGTAGTAATATCGAAGAACAACAGTTTCATTGGGTATTATAAGTCACAAGGAGTGGATGCATCTGCACTATGCACTGAGAATGATTTTGAGCCACATCACTAATTGTCGCCAGCCTTCATTGGCTTTTACTACCCCGAGGACCCCAACCAGGAAACAAGTGTCTACACCTGCCAACCTAACTGACTTAAACTAACTGTTGTGGATTTCGTTGACTGATGAGGCCATGTTTTGATTTGACCACCACTGGCTCTTTTCACACCTGATTCCTCCTATGTCAGCAAATATTGGCCGTCGAGGAAGGCGACAGATGGTCAGGCATACGTAACACATGTCCTAACTATCTCAATAGATGTAACTTCACAGCCTCCTCGTGTATCCATTTCTCCTCCCTCCTTACCTAGCACACGACCGATGCCTAACCTCAATATTGCTCACCCGATCATACCACTTCACTAAGAGCATAGAACTCAGACACCTCCCTGTGGCCAAAGACAGCTAGCCAACCTCTTCATGTCTTCCACTTTCAATGGCCAGGTGTCGCTCACAGCCATAAAGGAGGACAGAACGAACTACTGAGAAGTACACACGCCTTTTGGTCGACAGCCAGCCAAATATCACCTCTACTAAGTCAGAGATGGCGTAAACTGGCACATCCCAAACGACACTTCTGTATCCGTTCTGAGATTTCGTCAGTGATCAACCCACTGATGTTGGCTGGCTGATACAACTCCCCAAATAAGTGAAGTGGTCAACGCACCCTACCATTGCACTCCCTATCTTTCACCTAGGTGTCAATGTAGTCCAGTCCTGTAGAAGCATCTCACATTTAACAGCACGAGCGAATCACTTGCCAAACACTCCAAGATTGCAGCTCAAGGTGTTCAGAAGGCTCTGAATTATGTCAGCGTCTTCACCTAACAGGGAGGACTACATCATCCGCATATTCTAAGTCACCGAGATCATTCCCTGATGGTAACAAGTCAATCCCTGAGTCGATAAAGTCAGCAGTTAGGGTTAATTCCATTAGTACATCTATGATGAAATTGAATAAAAATGGGGATAGTGGGCATTCCTGACGGACACCACTAGTTGTCACCACCTCAGATGACAACTCGTCGTAGGCTCTCACCTGGCTGACTGTACGAGTTCGAGTAGAGTGCTTTGATCAGTGCAACGCATTTTTTCGGCATTCCTTTCACAGACAAACGTCGCCAGAGTACCTCTCGTTCGACGGAGTCGAATGTCGCCTTTCCGGTCAAGAAATACAACGATCGTTGGAAGCCGGTAAGTATGCCCATGTCCCAGAATCTGTCGAAGGGTGAAGATATGATCAACACACCCTCTCTTCCTGGTCTAAAGTCTGTCTGGTTCTCTCGTGTTTGTTTCTCCCGAGAACCGCCTAGTCTACGCATGATTACTGAGCCTAGTACTTTAGATGCCACCATATTGATCAAGCTAATCCGCCTGTGATTATCAGAAGAAGACTTTTCTGTCGGGATAATCAATGACTTACACCAACCCGATTGGATTTCCTCTGATTCCCAGACGCTACCTAATACCTTAGTTAATGCAGACAGTAAACTGTCTCCATCATGCTTAAACATCTCTGGATTCACTCCATCAGTTCCCACTGCTTTGCCTCATTTCAGACGAGTGACAGCTCTTGTAACCTTAGTTAGGGACGGACGACCGGTGTTTATGTTTGATTCAGGGAAGTGTTTGAATGCTGAGTAATTTGAGCGTGGCTGTAGGCCAATTAAACTGCTCCTCGAAGTGTTCTTTTCAGCGTTATCGTGTCTTCTAACTACAGTGCCATTTTTCTCAGAGATTGTTTTACTTGTGATTTGCATTTTCCCACCTGTTTCCCTGATAAGTCTAGATAGTCACCGATGCCTTTTCCATCTCTTTCGCTTTTGTCGCCCACCACTGTTCACGGTTGTTACGAAGACTTCTTGTTAGCTTGCGTTTGAGTAGCTTTCTCTCCTTATCATAATCGGAGCTCGTCGGAATCAGTGTTCTTGCGTCAATCAGTTCGGATGAGGTGGTAGAAATCCAATGTCTTCTACCAACTTTTGGTTTTAGACTATTAATAGGTTTTACAGCTGTCTACAGCTAACTGTATGTTGTGCCAGGTTACCTCAGGAGAAGTCCTGCTGTTGACCTTAAGTACTCGTTTCGCTATTCGCTCCTTAAATAGGGACTCAGAGTTTCGATCTAGCTGGGGACGTAACTGCTTCGCTGCCAACAATTTTTTATGTTTATTTAATCGTAAGCATAAATGTGCGCGAACCACAGCGTGATCGGAGTCTGCGCAGGTGTTCCAGAAGGATTGGCAGTCTTCCACTGACCTTTACAAACAATACCCTATCGCTATGTGGTCAATCTGACTCCAACGTTGATTTAGTGATGGAGGTCGCCAGGTTACACAATGTCTCTTTGTGCCTAAAGGTAGTGCTGACTAGGAACAGATGATTATCTGAGCATAACTGTAGAAGACGATCACCGTTGTCGGTTCGTCGGCAGGGAACTTACTACTCACATACTTCTCAGTCTGGCACAACTTCCCTACTTGGGCACTGAAATCTCCTGCTAAAACAACTATATCTGAACGTTTTGCTTTTTGCAGTAAATTGGACAGTTTCAGGTAGAAGTCAACCTTTAGTTCATCCAAACTGCAGTCTGTTGTGATATAAGCGGAGACTATGAGAAGACAACGAAGGGTAACGCCGTCCTTCCTTCCAACGGACCCGTTCAGAAGGACCGGGGCTCAATGAACTTGATTGTTAAATTTTTTCAGGCAGCGGTGTTATCTTACCGTTTCCTACCTTTTGTCCTCAAGGTATAATTTTCCTTTTAGCAATCTGAGATTTTGCTTTGTTGATGCGTAGGCCGAATTCTTCGATGCATCTTAAAACTGCCTCTACATGGTCTACTTGGTCACTTTCGCTCGTACTGTATATTACCAGGTCATCTCCATAAACTTCGACGTTCCTCAAATTCTTAAGCAGCAACGTCATTATTCGTCTAAATGTAAACGGGGCACCTGCCAATCCAAAAGGCATACGTTTAAACCAATATTTTTTCTATTCCACAAAGAAGGCCATCTTATCTCTATCACCTTGTTTTATCGGAAGTTCACAGTACCCTGGTCGCAAATCTAAGACTGTGAACAGCTTCGCACTTTGTAAGCGATCTAAAGTTTCCGCTACGGTTGGCATCGCCCACAGCAAGCCGAGTGTGAGGGCAAATACTCGCCGATGACATTCGCTATAGCCACTATAGTGGTCGCGCCACATCGTGAATTGGTAGAAGTTGGGATTTATGTACCATTGGATCGGGCTTGATGGTGTACGAGCTAGCCTTGTAACCA